ACATATATATATGGATTAGGCAACTATAAAATAAAAAATTAAGTCATACGTATCATTTTTCAGTCATTAACTTGCACGTCTTATGTATTGGAAAGAAAATATATATGTAATCTTTTTGAAATCTATTTATGGTCCTTTTTTAAATGGATAAAAAAAATTTAAAAGGATGTGAAATTTAAAATTGTATAATAATATTTTTTTAATAATTTTTAAATAATATTATTTATTTTCAAATCATTCTAATTAAATTCACTTTGACGAAACAAGTATGAATTTTATTTTAAAAGTAATCTTAATGCAATTATATGAAACTCGTAGAGTCGGATACCATCAATATTATGGGGACAAATTATGGGATGCCAATCACCAAATCTAGCTGAAATGCTGGGTTGCCAGCGAGTTCTGCAATATATCATAGAGCATTTCTAAGACCTAAGAACAGTGAAGTTGGATGCTTAAGAAGTTCATAAAAACATTGATAACACGCGAGGATGATTGATCAGAGTTCGATTTTACTGTTGCAAACTACCAGTCACTATTGCTTCGGAGATCGAATGTCACGGTAAAATAGATTAAGTAACAATGTAATTCAGTGGCTCATAATATAACGAGAGTTGCTCGTCTTTATCTTTATTTTTATGTACGTAAGAAGTTACCTTTCGTATGTGTATACTGTTTGGCTTCATCATTAATTAATATAAGCAATTACTCATCTTTTTTTTCTTAATTAAAAAAAAAAAAAACAATGGTATTAATGATTATATTGTATCAAAGTAAATGAAAATTAATCTACACACTTGGTCTTAATATTTCTCTTGAGACATAATGTGAATTTACTATGAAAATTCTATTTATTATTTCATTTAATTTGAAAGGTAATCAGATATTATTTAATGCGAATTAATTAAACTCGATCCTTTTCTAATATTTTTAGTAATTAATAATGCTTTTTAATATGTTTAATGTGAATTAATTAAACTTGGTGCATTCTTTTTAATAGCTTCCAATATTTTTCCATTGACGTATTTTAAATGCTTATTTATATTGTCATGCTAACTCGTCAATATTATATTTATATATATATATGTATTTTAACATGCATCAGGTATTTTTTCTGTCAACAACAGGAATTTATGAGAAAAAAAAAATGTATCCTATGGTTTTAATATATATATATATTTTTTTATGTGAAGTTATAAAAAATAGTATACGATCAAATTTGAAAATTCAAGATAAATGGAAAATTTAATTAATTAGTATAAATAATTTTGTAATAAGAAATTATTACAAAAAGAATATTCATTGCTATTTTTTAATTGGAAAATAAACTTAACAGTTAAAATAATTAAAGTTAACATCTATGCATAGAACTATGAAGTTGTAAGTTATTACAAAAATTTATTAATTAAGAATTTCAGTTGATAGTAATAAAAGCTTGTGAGAATTAAGATTTAATTATATAAAAAAATTAGGTCGTTCATCATATATTTAGTTTATATCTTTTACTAGATTATTTCACATTAATTTCAGATTTGTTATGTAGTAAATTATGGTTAATTTTTATTAAATTCCATTGAAAACAACATACATTAGCATATAAAATTACGTTAGTTTGTGAATTTATGATGATTTATTACCATGGCCGTGTAGCTTATGACACGAACATATTAACTTAATTGATAGGAAATGTCAATTAATTAATTAATAAGCTTTGTAAATTTATTTTTTAAAAAATATATATATATATATATATATCAGATATTGAAAAAAATAATAACCACAAAAAAGAGAGATTTTTAAGAACTAAGGCCGGTGACCAAAATGATTTATAATCTATACTGTAATTATGATATTTATTATTAGTTTATTGAATTGTGTTACAAGATATATTCGAAAATATTAAAAAAAAAAAATAGATTAATTAGACTTATTGTACTCTTTTAATTATTGTGTTTAAAAGGGAAAAGTAACACGTCAGGGTTAAACCGCACGTGTACGGCCGATAAGTTAGCTGATCTGAAAATTTGACCAAGTTTGAGTGACAGACCCGTCACTTTTATTTCTCATGGCACAGATGCGATGACGCGGGAGAGGTGGTTATTTTGTGTCGTTTTGTTACTTCTCCCGGTTGTCGTTTTGAAAAGAAAGAAAATTACTATTTGAGGTTCTGAAGTTAAAAGGAAACAAGGAGGCCACCCACTATTGCGCTGACTCTGGAGTGAACTCCAACTGGCACCTGCAAACATCCATGTTGGCAAGTGGTTATGGAGTTGGTGGACCCCACTTTTAAGCCAACGGTCCAGATTATAGGGTCTTAAATTGGCATAAGAATTGGTTTGTGAGATTTGTTCAGGATTACAATTTTTTTTTTTTTTTTTTAGTAGGAAATCGTAGCAATTTTATTTTGAGAGTTTGTTTTTTTTCTTCCAATTTTAAAGAAGCTAATATTTGTATTACCAAATTACCCAATTCTCAAAGAAGAGGAAAACACAAAATCACACAAGTAGAACTTAAGATCTATCTTGTCACTATCTAAAAAGTGTTTTTTTTAATAAGCAATTAAATAATTTCTGATGCAAGAAACTTTAATTTGCCTAAAAGATACATTTACGAAACAAAACCCAGAACCATATCCAACACAAGCCGATCAGAACACGAAGACAGATTCCCAAAAAACAGATTTATTGCATATTCATAAAAAAAAAAACTATATGCAGGAGTTTAAATGTCGTCGAATATTTTTATAAAAGAGCAATTTAACATAAAGGGTTGGTTCAGTCCTTGAGTAGTACGCACTAGCACTAGGCTTTTAATCACTGGGGAGTTGAGAGCTCAATTTGTTACATGCTGTCTAATTTCTAATAATAATAATAATAATAATAGAATACAGCTAATTAGATAACAGGACTCCCAGTCTCCCATCAAAAGGACTAGGTGACTCGACTCCAAACTGCGTCCACCCGTCCCCGTCCCCGTCCCCATCCCCGTCCCATTTGACCATTTGCGCTTCCGAGTTTGGAGACCTGCGACCAGCCACGGCCCCGTCCCCAGATACCTCGACGGGACCTCTTCATTTGAAAATCACCAAATGTCTACAATCCCATAACAAGAAAACCATCAACAAGCCATAATTAACCTAAAAATATGTACAGTGATAATTTATATTATGTGGGTTTTGTGGACTCATCTATTTTTTTTTTGTTAGTATATGTAGAATCTTATACTCTTTTACTCTATCACCTTAAAATTTTCTTAATTTCAATTTATTTAGCGTATTTAGAAGCTCATACATGTGCCCTGTAAATGTCAATGTTTATATGCAAAAAAAAAAAAAAAAGATGCCCAAAAACTGAACTCTCACAAAAAATTTGACAGGATAGGAACTGAATAAGGTCAAACTTAGAGAGCGGAAACCGTACTTTGCTAACAGAGCAAAAAAAAAAGGGTGAAAATGTATTTTTACCAAAGAAAGGTAGGGGCCAGAGGAGAAAAATAAAAGGTACGTTACCTCTGTATCCAGTTTCCTTTGTTCAGAGAACCTTAATCTCCCTTTCTTTGACTCGCAATTCAGAGAAGAATTACAAGAAAGTGAATCAAAGAAGTCATCTTTAACATAAACAGCCTGCACAAAATGGGAAACAGTAGCCTCCTATAAGAAAAGGAAATTGCAGGTAATTTTTTTTTAAAAAAAAAGCTTAAATCAAATTACCAAGAAATACTTGAGATTTGAGCATTATGACATCTGAACTATTTTGTTTTTTCTAACAAAATGAACAATAAATAAATCCCTGCGTAATAAACAGATTTATTGATTTCATTTCTGTGTAATTTCTTAAGAGCAGTTAACCAATAGTTTAATATTTGTGACGGGTAGAATAATAAAAGACAGCAACATAATAAACAATTTTACTTAAAAAAACCACAAAATGGGAATTTTTGTTCGTATAGAAATGAATAAATGACACTTATATTGAAAAAATAATAGAACCAATTGTATTCAAACCTAAATATCAAGGATCAGTACCTAATTTTATTGGGAATAAAAAAACTAACAATCTGTTTCATTATAATCATCAGAATCCTTACCTTTGTCTCAACTTTTAGCTGTTCAGCTGCATCTTCATGTTGTATACCTCCTCCTTCACTGTCACTTGGACTTTGTTGGTCTTTCAGATGAGTTTTCATACTTTTACCAAGCTCACCCCATACTTCATCCTTATTGAATTTTTCATTCATTGCCACAAAATCAAAATCCTCAGTAAATTTTGCCGGTGATGATGAAATCTGAAAAGCAAACAAAAAGTGACAGAGAAATATCAGTACTACTTATTCCAAAGAAAAAAAAGGAAATATCATTAGTTACAAAACTGCAATATCGAGGGGTGAATGCATTAACACTCAATTATCTATCTCAATAATCATCACACAAGAAAAATAATAGGAAGATTGAAAGTGATATCCCTGCATGGATATTATCTTCCTTTGGCCATTTTCGCATCTCTCTCTTATCCAATATTATCCATATCGGCCGGTGGGCTCTCACCAATCCCTAAATCCCCGTCCATGGTTAAACAGAGTTTTGAATCTAGGCCAATGCGTGGTGCTGAAGAATGATGATTATCTAAACCTTAAAGGAAAACTTCCACTGAAGAAGCAAGCTTTCTAATTTGATATCTAAGTGTATTATTTCCTCCGAGTAAAAAGAACTATTACTATTTTTCTTGGTGAGGCGAGGGCCAGCAGCCAAGGGACTCTTTGGCATATCAGCAACAAGTCCAACCATTGAGAGAACTATAAATTCCTTGGAGAAAGAGAGAGAGAGAGCATTTTGTTACCATATCTGCTCTTCCTCGTCCATGGCCCTGATTTCTGTAATGCTGGTACGGTGCAGCTCCACTAATCTGGTAAAAATAGAAAATCATAAACAATAAAATGCTTTTGGTTTCTATCAAATATTGTTTCTTTTTTGTCTCTAAACTTACCAATCTTTTTGCTCCTCGCACATGGCCTTTATTGCCAGGCTGAGTATGCAGACGGGCTCCATGTTGCTGGAAAGAACGTGAAGATTAACACAAAACGCACACAGGAGAACACGCAATCCATACATATGCATTAGCGGATGTAAAGTGAATACAAGAAGTTCTTTAAGCCCCAAAGAACTTAAACAATTACCATATTTACTCTTCCACGCATATGTATTCTATCACCACGTGCATGATTACCATGGTGATCATGTGAAGCAGCTGCATTTAACTGAAGGGAGAGGGTAAACAAAGTAGAAAAAAAGGCTTACACCAAATTTATGTTAGCACTGAAGCAAATACCTAAATTGAAATACAGATAGATTACCTTATTCATTGATCTGTTCACGTGGCTCTTGCCACTATGATGAGCACGTGATGTAGCATCATTCAACTGGAAGGATAAAGCTCAAAGGATACCATCAAAATCTCAACTAAATGAAATAATACAATATTCCAATTCCGAGAGGCAGAATACAGAAGTGTCATGAGGAAATTGGTTTATACTTGGAATATCTGAACTGATAAAGCATGATCTTGTCAAATATATTCAATATATAAATATAGATATCTAAAAACATGGTTTAAGAAAAATAAAACTAAGTATTTTTGTCAAACGAAAAAGTAAATAAATTAGCTATATGAAAAAAAAAAGGTTCAAATAAGATCAAACAAACAAAAAAAAGGGAAAATGTTAATCACGTTTCCGATAATCCATTCAACAACTTACAGTATAAGTACATCATATTTTTTTAGAGGGGTATATGTATATCATGTCAATGTTTGCATGGAAACAAGTCTACTTAGTGGAACTTCCCTACCAGCAAAAACATGGAAAAGAAAAGAACAAAATAATGCTTCTTCAATGTCATAAAAATACGAAAATCCAGAACAAAATATAAATAGGAAATCAATTTACAGGAAGGGAGATAAACTGATTAAGATTCTCACCACAAGAACATAGAAAGAAGAAGCATTTTGCAGGCAATGTATACAAGAAAGGAAAACAAGAATGTAACACAAAATTTGAACAAACTTACAACAAAATTATAAAGCAACCAATCAACAAACAAACAATGAAGAATTAAAAAGTTTTAACATCTTCAATGTCAATAATTTTTGAGACCCTATAAGACATGAGAAGAGAAAAAGAAAGCCAGGTTACCCCATTTATCTTCACTTGTTCCTGTCCCGCTTTACGGAGGTGTGTGCTTACTAGAGCTCGGCTTGACTAAGGAAAACACGTAGAGAACATAAAACATAAGTTAGAATCACATTCCCATAATACCTATGTGCTAAGATAATAAATAAAAAAAACAATGCAATTCCTGTAGTTTGTAGTTGTTTACAGATGCTACACCCATAGAAGTAAATGCCCAGAAGACGCCGCATACAAACTACTGTATGACTTTTGGATGAGTGTTCTCTCTTAGACAAACTATTGAATTTGAAATACCAACAATGATAAGTAGAAGAAGAGCTTTGGAATCAAGATCAGTAGCTATGAGATAATTAATCAGAAGACATAGTGCTATTTTTTATTTGCCATGTGAGAGATTACACAAATCAAGTGCAGCATAACCAAGCAGGGCACCACATGCCGAATGCTGAGGACAAGTTGCCATTCACTTTTTCGTAAAGACACTACAAGGAATGAACTTATAATATGGGTAGTTTTGCACAGATAAGTTCTATTATTTATCACCTCCATATGCTTGTTCAAACAAACGAATAACTTGGCAAGAAATTATAAAAGGAAAAAGAACTTCTTGTGCAAGGTCGAATTAATAGTCAATTTTTTTGAATAATATCCCATCCAGGGAAAATATACTGACTGCTTAAATAAAGACATTGACCATTCTCCTAATTACCTTCCATGTTAATGATATTGAGGTTGAAATTAACAGAATCGGTGTATCTTCATATCTATCTATACTTGATCCTATACTTACTTTTTTTTTTAAATAAAATGTATAAGTATTATATATAAGCACCAAGGGGATGCAATCCATGTACAAAAATATTTACAATTTAATTAGCATATCAATTAGTTCCTCAAGATTCTTCCTATAATACAGCATTTGATTTAAAATCAAAACACCAAGGTTTTAAAACCATCTTTCTCTAATTTTATCAAGCCCCTCCTCCACCCCCTCAAAGATCTTCTCATTCCTTTCCTTCCATACAACCCAAAAAATCGCCAACAGAATAAGCCCCAACTATTTCTTCCTACTGGTAATATCCTTCCAAGCTTACACCTCTTCCTTAACAGAGCCAACCAAAACCCAACTATAACCCAGGATCCCAAAAGCGGTAGACCATAGGCTGTATGAAATGGGGCATCAAAGCAGAATATGGCCGCAAATCTCCTCCAATCTCTTGCGCAGACAACACCAATTAACCAAAGTCTCCCCCTTTTCATTAGCGTATCAATAGTTAATATGCACCCGCAACAGCTTCCCAAGTGAAGAAAACTATCCTTGGAGGGGCATTCACTTTCCAACTATGCTTGTATGGGAATAGTCCTATACCTACTTGATTTCTTCTGTCTAATGTATATATATATATATATATATATACATTTATATGTATATATTTACCAGTTCAATATCTTGCTGTCATTAAGAGGTTTTAAAAGTTAAAACATGGTGCCGAGAAGGGAGAGCTTTCTTTCCTGTATTTCCCTGATTGAGGTATCTCCGTACTTGCACAAAGTTGCTCAAAGGTGAGCTTTTTAATTGTCCTTGTGTATTTAGTAATGACTGATTTATTGCCTATGTGATTAATTGATGGAAACTTGTCCACTCTTCAACATTAATAAGAGGATTAGTTGGAGTTTCAAAACATCCATCAAGCCCAGCATATTCAAATAAAATGTTTCAGATTACCATTTCCAAGTAAAAGAGGAGTTGGCTTTCAGGGCATTCGTTCTCATCAAGACCAAGAATCTATGATGGAGCCGCACCAGAAAAATTTTGCTGGCTCATTAGAGTGAAATATACATCATATAAAAACAGAAGAAAAAGGTAATATTCCACCCATGTGTGGTTCTAGATTATCTAAAAAACTTTCAAAGATGATATGGTACCACTGCAATAACTATTCATAGGACTGCAAAAATAATTTCTGATTGGATTGTTTCATGTCTTGTTACAACAGAGTGCAGTCATCAAATCACCTAGAGAGATCTTTCTTAGTTTTGGTTGTTTCATGTATTAATCATCTAACAGCATTTCAATCCGAGTTCAAGTCAACCCAGGTTCATGAGCTTAAAGTTTCCAGCCCTTCCAAACTGAAGTTGTTTGGATTCAGCAAGTCATATTCATATCATACTATTGTAACACATTGGAGGTCACAGTCCCAGTTGGGTTCTGGGTGAATCAGATTGTCACTCCATCTATGTGATGTGATGATCACTTTGTGCAACAAACCTCACAAATATTTATTTTCCACGGAAATTTCCCAATATTTTCATAAATGAAGCACCAGCAGACCAGAAGGGAATGTACCGTGACAAACATCCCATTGCCTTTGGAATGCCCTTTTACAAGAACAAAAATATGCATACCACAGAGAAAGCCCGAAGACACTGTGTCACGCATATAACAGAAGAAAGGGATACGAGCTAGTCAACTTGTCAAGCAAGTACTATAAATCCTCTTTTGAAGAAAGAGGATGACCATTAAACAACAATAGAATTTCAGGAACCAATGACCTCTAATTTTAGCAAAAAGAGAATAGACTTCTTGAAAAGTCCTTTTAATATCAGGAATCCCTTTTTATTCCTTCATAAATTAATACCATGTTATAAGTATCACAAATCAGAGCACAATTCCAAGCTCGCAAAGCCTTGATCCTTCCTATTTATGCATCAAATCAAAGAACATGAATTGTCAAGAGACAAAAAACCAAGATAAACTATATCGAGTCAACAAATAGAAGTAATAAATGACACTGTTGCACTCACACAGAATCAGGACAAAACATCAGTTATGATTTAGAAAGTTTATAAGCATGACACATGCTTATTAGCAATAGGCTAGCATGTGGAAAGAAAAGGTTAGCAACCACTTGCATAAACCTTTTCCTAGGAGAGGTTAATACTTGGGAATATTAAGCATGACCCTGGACCAGGAGGGTTAAAATATTCCAACATCAACTAACATCTCATGCTTGGAAAAACTATATCAAGTTCCAATTATTACTATCTGCATAAAGTAATAATGATTTTGTACAGTATAATTAGAAACTAACGTTGTACCTTTTTAGTGGATGCTACTGGTAGTGGTAAAACAGCTGGCTTATCATCATCTTTTGCATCCACTGGAAGAGATTCCGATCTTGATGTGTGAACCACCTCTATGTCTTTTTGAGCTGTTTGCAAGGACTGAGAGGAAGAAAGGTTAGCCGGCTCAGACTGCAATAACTGCGATGGGGTCACTAAGGAAGGCATTGACGCCTCAATCTGATTTGAGCTAGTCATTCCAATAATCAAAGGCAAAGAAGTAGGTGTGCTCTGAGAAACTGACGTAGAGCCATTAACTGATTTAATTTTCTCAATAGTTGGAGGTATAGTAATATTTGCATCTGAAGCAGATGTCAATGGAGATGCTAATGGCATGGTAGAACTTAGTTTTCCAGTGGTGAGAACAGTAAGTACATTGTTTGTTGTCTGATGTTGTTGTTCATTAGAAACCAAACTAGAACCACCAATAGGAGGGTTCTGTGACAAAGCTGAAGATGACAATAGAGTTGATGCTAAGTTGACAGAGCCACAAGCATTGAAGGGTGGCATAAAGGGACTAGGGCTTTCAGGGAAGCTTGATGCACTGCTCGTTACAGATGCATGTCTCTCAGGATATGGCATCTGTTGCTGCCCAGAAGGAGACACTACAAGGCCCAGTGGTGGTCGAAGAGAAGACTGTTCTTGCATATGAGACAGATCTGTCGAAGGCTCTTTTAGTTGTTGCCAATAAGTTGGCACAACGTGCTCAGTATTATTGGCATTTGGATGTGATAAACCTTTAGATCCTATGTTACCTACAGGTTGATACTGCAGCTGAGTTCCCTGAAATCTTGAGTTTGGATTTCCTATCTGTGAATTGGAAATAAAATTTGTCACAGACCAAGAACCAGTGGGCAGCAAGTTTGTAGCTGTAGGAGGTGGCTGCAGGTAATTGAACTGCATAAAATGTTATAGCAACCAAAAACAAATAAATAAAATTTAGACTGGTATAAAATAAAAGAAATGTAAGCTTTCATTTTCTAGCATATATACTTGAATAATAGCAGGATCATCGGGTATGGCTGGCGTACTACAAACAGGTGGTGAAGATAAGACCTGCAAATCCTGAGATAACATACACAAAGGTTACTTCTATTTAGTAATAACTTTAGAATGAGATAAAAAAATATTGATAAATAGAATCATCTTTAAAAGATCTGCAAGACTAATTACTGCATTTTAATTTTCTCGTGGAAAGTTGATTCTACAACTTAACAGCTGACAACTTTTATGTTTAAAATAGTAAACCAGATCCAAAACTTCATAGATTTTGTCATAACAATGGCAAAAGGATACTTTAGAGTTTGTTCAAAATCAAACAAAATCCTTGAATCTTCATGTAGCCTTTAGAAAAAGAGTAACAGCAATTATAACTTTTACTTCACTGTACAAGGCTGGCAAACCTAAGATGCCTTTAACTCCACATGGATCAATCTCAGCATCAATCTAATTTTCATGTAGTCAGGCCCAAGATTAACTTACATATACTACATCCAGGAGATATCTTGCAAGTCGAAAAACAAGAAAATCCAAGTTTACAAAGACAAGGAGGAAGGAGTATGATTTGTATTGGAGCAGAGGAAAGCCAGCAGTATCAAAGCAAAAGACACATTTCATGAGATTTTGATACATCTCAAACAAGCACTAGCAAAGAGTGGGAGAAGGACAATGGATTTATTCTAAATTTGTTCTAAATGGCCTGCAATGTCGAGATTTTCATTTACGTGCTCCAAAGTGATACAGAAATAAGAAAAACCCAAAAAACCTAGGTAACTTCTTTTGATAAATGCATCTTTTATATCTATACATACTTTGATGTCACTTCCACGAAAGTAGATGTACTCGTAAATTTTTTCACTTGGAGGGATTTGTGGGCCGTCCTTTTTCCGACCTTCAGTTCCAAAAGATCTTACTGCAAAATAAGTAATCAACACATCATGACTAATATCTATATGTACAAAAAGAGTAGGATATCATGCAACATAACACTATCTGTAAACTGCCACAAATAAGCATGCCAGATGAAGATGGTATGGAAGAACAGTTTGACATATACATGCTTGTAGATACAAATATGTACCCAATCGAATGATATAAAATTTCCCTTTTACAAACTATTTCACCTTATTGCAGTAATTGATCATAGTTTAGCTAACAGTCTCAATATCACCGAATTTTCATTTATCATCTGATTTCACCTCCTCAAGCACAGTGGTAATATGAAGGAAAGGGGAAAACAGAACCTCACGCATCAATATTCAAAATCCTAAAGGACAAAATTACTAGAGCAACTTCAAATAATTGACCAGAGTGCAGCTCAGAAGATACAATAACATGGTAAATTTTTTCTAGAATGTAAGGAAACCACGTAGAGACACACATATAATACAATTTCAAAATTTACACAGGAAATTGGCCATCTTTCCCAACATTATACATAACCTATATAGACACCTTGTTTTCTCTATCAGGGAAAAATTTCATGCACTTTATCATCTGTCATCCCTGATTTAAGAACTTAAATCAAACCATCGCAAAAGGCCTAACAACACTGTAAGAACATAACAGAAACGCTGCCAAAAGAATCATCACCATTATGAAACCAACTTGCAGCAACAGAAACACGAAACCAAACAGGAGGAAACAGAGAAAGTCAGATGAAGGAAGGGGAAAACTACACCATTTTTGAGGCCAATGGAGGACTCGTGAGGGTCAATGTGGAAGAGGACGCCCTCGTATCGGATTTCGGACTTGGAAATTATGCTAATAAAACTGCCGATATATGAATCGGCCGACCCCATTTCCGCAGTAGATTTTTGGAAATCTGTTGCAGATATACCGAAATTATATATGTATCTTTCTCTCTTTCAATCTCTCTTGAGAAAAATGGAGAGATCAGCGAGAGAGACAGACCTGAATGTGTTTTTCTTTGTCGTCGGGACAAATTTTCCTTTCTTTTTTTTTTTTTCCTATGAGAAGTGAGAAAATGGATTGATAAAAATTGAAAACTCCATTTATTATTTTTTATTATTTATTTATTTTCTTGTCGAGTCTCGTGCCTCACGGGCACGCTTTTAAATTGCACACGTGTTTGGCAGAGTGTCACTGAAAGAGGAAAAAAAATATATATATATATTATAAAATTTCTGTGAGTTTTATTATAATTAGCAAATTTATTTGTAATAATTCAGTACGTTTCAATTAATTATTTCATTAAAATTATACTTATAAACCTTGTGTGTTATGCATGACACATAATTTAATAAATAATTTTATTTTGATATGATTTAGTTAAATAATTGACTAAATTTTGATTTTAGTAAAATTTTTAATTAACAAGTACTTTGATTTAAATACAAATTTGAAAATATTTAAATAGATATATATATATATATAACAGATTATTATTTTTTTTTTATATTTTGGTGATATATTAATTCTCATTATGTAATTTATGCGTTTCAAAAATCATTTCTAATAATAATATTTTTTAAAATATTATAATAATAAAGTATTATTTTTAAATTATCATTTATAATTTACTTTTTAATTTTAATTTTTTTAATACTCAAAATCTTTGTGTATTTATACTTCAATTTTAAATATGTATAGATATTATATAAAAAATAATAATTTACATATATGAAAAATACAATTACTGATTCTTAAAATATACAAATATATCAAGTTTCTGGAAAAGATTATATAGTATTTTTTTTAATGGGAAAAACGACCAAGTTCATGTTCAACATATAATCAAAACTATCCAACACAATATACTTCTTCAAGCTGATGGCATCCTGAAAATTTGAAATCAATCATCAGATAACATTGGCAAGAACAATTGATATGTTGCCGCGTCTTTGCTGCTCTTCGAATCGAAACCCTAACATTAACATCAATCATCTAACTCAAATTCAAGTGATATTCTCAAGAACAATAAATCTGCTGGCTTCTTTGTGCACTTGGAATCGAAACCCTAACATTAACATCAATCATCAAAATTCAAGTGATCTTGTCAAGATCAATCAATCTGCTGGCTTCTTTGCTCCTCTTTATACTGAGACAATATACCAAAGTAGACAAGAAAAGGCTACTTCTATCATAGAATTCAAATTTCCATCTCAAATTTTTCCGGGCTTCAAGTTTTTGTGCGCTAAACTTAATTACCAAAGGCAAAGCTTATATATCTGTGCATTATGTTAATGAATCACCAGGTTCCACGTATCCTTTTAGTAATAGCCAACACCTCTTATATCGCCAGATGTCCGTTGCTCAGCATCACGGACTTTTTCTGATCCCAGAAACACAATGCGGCCTACAAAAATTTCACGTTGTAATTCTATCAGCACAAAACCTGATAACCCTTTTGTCAACTCTAGGTTGTTGTCATGAACCACAAAACACAATGAGGAGAGAGGATATTGCAAAAAAGAAAAATAAATTGTGGATCATCTGTCAAAAAAATGTGCCTTCAATCTATGATATATTGAGAAAGTAAAATCTTTCTAGTTTCGAAGAAGATAAAGAATCTGAGAGTTGGAGGGAGTTATGCACATACCATCTCGACGAATAGCTATTTCTCTTATTCGTCGAACTAGACCAGTTATAGGATCAGAGAAAATTTTTGGTTCCAAGTTCCCCTCCAAATAAACAATTGACCTGCATTAAACCAATTTTATCAAGAGTTCTTCTCATAATCTAATCGCCAAAAGCAGAGGGGCAGGTGCAACAGCAACAGCAAAATCAGCCCAATAATAATGTTTTTTTTCTTTTGAAAGGAAAACATTCAAAAAGTTAACATTTTTTTTTCTTGTTCAAGCAAATCCACGTCATCTAATAGAACAATCAAACTTTGATATATGAGCAAAATTTAAAAATTCTTCATCATTTAGGCACATTTGGGGAACTCCAGATGACTCAAAATCATTATCACTCATACTGATCATGTTTGAGCAAAGAACACTTATCTCAAAATTTTTGTTCAGTTTGAGCTATAGCATGAACAACAGAAAGTTTTGATTGTGGCACAAGCTCATTGTTGGTGCATATTCCAATCCAGTAGTACCTTTGGGGATCGGGTCTCCTTCCCAACACTAATACATTTTTTCTTTTTTCAGTTGAAGCAAGAAAAGAGTTCTAAAATCCCAAAGAATCTAAGACAAAAGCAATGAATTAGCTTTAACAGTTAACACTGGAACAGATGCAAAACCAACCTGGATGACCAGGCACATTAAAATCAAAGTAGCATCATTTTGTCCTTTTTAAACTCTTAAACTACCAATGAGAGCCCCCCAGCTCTAATCTATCCAAGAGCAGAGAACATACCATAACCTGTCATTAATGGCCTCATCTAACTTCATCATAAATTGGAAACCCTATCTGGGTAGTCCTAATTTCCCAAGCCTCTAAATTGCATCTCAAAATTACCAACTTGTAGATGAAGCCAATGTGTTCTCAGGACACTAAATGATCATTAGCATAAAAAATCAAAAAACAGCCCAGCACCCATACGTAATTACCAATCAAACTACCTTAAAAATTTAAAGGAAACTATCCACTGTAACTCAACATAGAAACCTATATTTCCCAAAGATAAACAGACATAGCCAGTAGAAGTGACAAGTTCATGTAACCTGGCAATTACAAGCCTTGGAATACAAACACTAGAAGGATTCCTATATTTTTATGATACATAACACCTTATATTCTTGAAAATATTTTCTTTCTTAATGCATTTTTAGAGAAAAAAATCGATTTATTAACAAGGCTCCAATGGGTTGCCACCCAAATATATTCCTTCTTAATGTTTTCAAGACTAAAACTACAAAGGTTAAAAAATTGCCTACATTTTATAGTGTATAAAATTGCACTATCGAATCCTTTTCTTTCTTATTGTTTTCAATCGCTACAATCTCATGTTTATTTCCTACATCCATTACAAGATGTTGTGCACATCTATATTCCCTGAACTCTTGACTAATGCACGTCTTAGGAGAGAAGGGTGCTACAGTAAAATGCCTACATGACTATGCATACTCAACAAAAGGAAATTTAATAAAATTTAAGGCTTGCACAGATACCCAGAGACCACACTATTAACGAGTCCAAGTAACAACAATTACCTGGAAAGTCTACAGGCCTACCTATTTATTTTCAGATGGCTCTGTTTCTCAAAGTTTGGTCTGAAGTCAGATAGCTTACGTGTGTTCACCTCAAATACAAGCTGTTTTGGAAAAAACCTAACAATTAAAACTAGCTAAAGCACCATTTATTTCAAGATTTTAAAGTAGTTTCACTAATAAACTCAGCCACACACTTTGTTTGGTATATGTGTATATAAGTACACACACGCTAAACTCACGTTAAAAACACCTTCTCATAAATGATAGAGCATCATGATCATTACCCAGTATGCAACGTACACCTAAGAAAGATTTTTCAGCAGTCACAATAAATTTATAAGTATAAGACACATCACCATACAAATATATACATATATATCCCAAAAAGAAGCTTTAGTAGAGACTCACCCAGGTTGAGCTTGCTTTATGACAAGATTCCCTAGCAATTCCACATAAATGGAAACCCGATGCCACTGAACTGCACATCGGTTTGCATACTCCCTAGGATCTTCATTATCCAATGGCCTTCGGTTGTTCCGGATTCCTCCTGTTCCCACAGAGAAAAGTGTCACCGTCCTCCCACTCTTCAGCTTCTTCTGGACAGGACTCTGCCCTACCTCCCCCATCACTATAGCCTGTAACACAACATTCACCAACCAAAAAAGCTATTGTTACATCAATAAGGTATAAGCATAGACTTCAATCTACATGGTCTCTTAAAACAAACAGAATCCTCATAGCATCTCCGATTCCTTGTTTGAAATGACTCCAGAACTTCATTAAAGAATAATATAGAAATCTACGACCCATGCCGCATGGATACAATCTAATGTTGACCGGAAACTCATATGGGCGACAGCCAAAAAACCTTAAACTGACGAAAAAATTAGAAAGGAGATGAGAATACAGTTAAAATGTCAGTTCATGTACCTTGTAAATGCCCATATCGAGGCCGCTCTCAAGAGGTGCATCATAAACCGCTCTTTGCTCACCGGAGCTTTGAGATGGTGATGATGATGGCGATTGCGAGTCAGGAACAGTATCTCTGTCAGAGTCGAGGCTGGATGCCTCCGAGTCACAGCCTTCTTGGGAGGAGATGCTGCTAGTGCAGAAAGGCATTGACATCTGAGAAACTCTAGGGTTTGAGAGAAGTGAACGATAGAGTCTTCTTGAGAGCATAGATATTGAAGTCGCCATTATTGTGAAAAATGAGAAATTGAAAATGCGAAAGGATTTACAGTGATCTCCAGGGGGGCTTAGCCTTAAACCCTAGTGAGGCCCGGCATTTCTGCGTTGTGTCTATTTTCTTTCTTCTTACTTCCAATGAGAAATGTGTTAACACTCTATTCCAATTTAAAATATATATATATAAATTTATTTTATTCCTTTTTATTTTTATTTTATTGATAAATATATTTAGATTCTAATAATTAATTTTTAAAAAAATAAACTTTTCAACGATGGTATTAATATCTATAAAAAAATAAATTAACTTAAACGACCGTAAATACATTAATAAATTAATTTTTTTATTATTAATAAAATTTAAATTCATAATTTTTAAATTAAATATAAAAATTTTAAATATTACATTAGTGCTTTAATACTTTATGAGAGAATACATATATGTGTGTATTTTTTTCTGTACATTTTCTACACATTATACAAAGTTCAGAATGATTTTTGAAATTTTATTTCGTTACTGATTGAATTTTACAGACATCCACACAATCATTTGGACAAGTTTCAAATTTCCAATATTTAATTTTTTATTAAGAATTAATTCTGTTGACCATGAGATATATTCATTATTTTAATAACCAAAAATTCAACAAATCTATATTTTAATTGCCTAAACTTATTAACTTTTACTTAATCTCTGATACTTGAAAAATAAAATTCTAAAGGGAGTCTGAAAGGTGTCTTCAGCTCTCTTTGAAACAAATTAATAATTCGTGTAAAATCTTCTTAAAAAGTCAGATTTATTTAACTAAAAAATATACAAATTCTCTTACAAAAATTATCAAAATGAACTCATAAAATTGTTCAAGGAATCAAACCAACACATTCTAATTTCTATCAAATGGATTGTTATATTTGTATACAGAATTTTATATGAACACAAAATTGGTCCAATATTAATCTTGCCATTAAAAAAGAAAAAATTTTAATTTCAGTATTAGGGCTTTTTTTTTTATATAAGAAATCAGAAGATGGCCCAAGAATCTGCACCTGGATAATCGCAGGCAATGGCTACCGTATTATTTTTGTGCTTACCTTATCCACAAAATCCCAGCAGAAAAGTTGAGACACAAAAGACTTTCTACCCCGAACAAATAAGAGTAATGAATCGCACAAGCACAACCAAGAAGAAAACTCTTCCGTAGTGATGTTACCAAACCCCAAAATCCTTCAATCTTCCCCACAACTTCACCACCCGACATGCCCGCTGCCACCACTGCTGCCTCCACAGCTTGAAAACACAACCACATCTCAATCTCTCCGGACGCAACGTAAGTTATCACGTCGAGAGCTCACAATTTCAAGTAAATCTTCATTGCTTCTACTGGTTGCTGCTCAAGCCCTTGAGCCATTGAACAAATTCAATGCAAAGGCAGAAGAAAATTTACCCGCAGATAAAAGCAAGGAAGAGACAAGGAGTACTTCTGTTCCTATGTGCACTGACAAGGTACCTACCAAGAAAGCATTCCTTGACATATCGATTGACGGAGAACCTGCTGGTCGTATAATCATCGGGCTCTACGAAAATGAAACACCAGCAGGAGCTGCTAGGTTTAGTAATCTTGTTAGTGGAGCTGCCGGTATTAGCTACAGAAGGAAAGAGTTTGTCAAGATTATGCCAAACTATGTGCAACATGGAGGGGTGAGATCATATGGTGTGGATGCTGAGCTTGCCAGGAGAACAGACAATAACTTGGTGGTTAAAGGCTTGGTGGATGAATGGGAAAAAACGAATAAGTGTCCAGGAACCAAGAACCTGGCTGGGAGCTTAAGCATGATCGTGAGGGATCCTTCAAGACCTCCTCCGAAGTTGAAGCTGGTTGCACGTGAAGGGAAGCTAGAGATTGACCAAGAAGAGGTCGGGATAGGTCCAAATGGGACAGAGTTTGTGATTACCACCAAGGACTCGCCAGAGCTGGATGCTTCGGCTTTGGTGATTGGAAGAGTCTTGGAAGGAATGGAGGTTGCAGTGAGATTAGGACAGGTGAAAACCGTGCAAGAAAACACTAGTTCTCCTTATTTCCGGTGAGTATGATAATTCCTGCCGCCTTTTGAGTTATATTATTCTGCAGTCTGTATATTAAAATGTCAGCCTAAAATAATGTACTTAAGCCAAGAAAGAACAAGCACTTAGATGGTTTTGCCCCAGAGTTCTCATACCTCCAAGCATTTTCTCTACCACAAAATAAATCCTTGAACATCCACTAAGAGCGTTTAAGCACAAATCCAAGAAATGTCTCTGCCAAACACAAATCTCAAATGACAGCCACCATTTGTAGAAATGTTCTATTTTACAGTATAGAAAAAACAGCAAACAATAATGTAATGAAACAAAGAGTAGTTAGAAACATAAACTTACAGGATTAATGGTGAAAATACAATACCCCATCTATTTTGCTGGTATTGGTGGCTTTCTAGTGCTAACCAGATATATAAAAACGTTATTGTTTGATGAGCAGGGTGGCCAAGCTAATAGGAGATAAAAGAGCAGTTGTTGCTGAGAGAGGGTTCAACCGACCTTATTCAAAGGTAGTTGTCACAAATTGCGGCATCGTGGATTAACACCATCCTGTATTTGCAGCTCCTTTGATTTTTGAACAAAGGCAGAAAGATTTCATCAGGGAAAATAGAACTCCCACTGCTTTTTCCTAGAAAATTCATTACAATGTGTATAGCCCCCAAGAAATATGGGGAAGTTTCCAACTTTAAGCACCAGGCAGGCTTTGAATCAGATTTCAGCTTACCTTTACCTTCTCAGTAAATGAGTGGGCTCCTACCATCGCATGCCAATCAATTAGCAGATATGACAATTTACAGATTTCAAAATATGATATAATGGCACAAATATACATCTCTTAGGACACAAGGACTATATTATCGATGAAAAGCAATCCAACCACAGAAATATATTGAGATGGACACATAGCACAAGAATGATTCCACCAAGACTTTAGCTTGATCCTTGGCTGGGCTTCAATTTTTTTGCAGATGGAGACATGAAAAGCCTTCTAACAGATGTAATTGGATCATCAACCTGTCAATAATACCAAGCAAGATGATTCTCCCACTGAACTGACTGAAAAAATTAATCAAAGCTTACATGTATGCAAAAATGGGTCATCCATAGATGTTTAAAGCTACCAGCAAACCAGCTCATAATTGATAGGCACGCACATGGATATCCTTATTCATATTTGAATGAGAAACATCAGTTAAATAATACATGTCTTCTCTAGACATGCAAATAGACCATACCTGATTATCAAAGAACATCCAAACTAACAAGCCATTTAGTGTCTTTTGGAAGAAAATTGGGGATAGATTTTGATAGATTGCTGGAGAAAATTTTGATTCTTAGCTCTCAACTACACAAATACAGATAAGTTTATGCAAAACTGAGGGATAGGTTCAAAGAGATGGATTAGGCTCATTAGGGCAGAATACACCAATCCAATATCTGCTTTATTACGAACGCATAATATGTATTTGAATTGGAGCCCAGAGCATTATTACCATCACCAAGGCTTCACTGATGTAGAAGATAGCAAAACTTTCAAACATACCTTAACAAGAGATGGAGATGATGGAGAACTTGTAGCGGACTCTTTTTTATGCAGTAAAGCCAGTAGTGTCTGTCGCCATCCAGGTACCCTGCTGCCTGTTGATGAAATCCAGGGGCAAAAATGTCTGTGTTGCCTAATTGGATCAAACTCCATTGCTTTGTCTGATGGTAATTGCTTCAGATAATCACCTTGAAGATGGTATAGCACGGTTAATGTCTATCTTACTATTACCAAATCATAAATATCAAGCATATTTAATAGCTTTAACAGAAAAATTTGCAGTGCACTATGCAAGAACGTATTTACCAACAGAAGGCAACATTTGTGCATACACATCTAAGGAGGACAAAACTTGTGCACTGCATATACCTCCAAGATAGACAACTCTTCTGTCAGCCACAGCTTACAGGCAAAGGCAAATGACAAACTAAACGTGAAGGAACTATAGAGAGTAGAAGTGGTATGCCTTGAGTCATGGATTTAAACCTCCAAGCTGGCATAAAACTCAAGAAAGATATGACAAAGAGCTATGATACTTCACTAGAAGTCACAAATTCAAGAACAACTGATTAAGTAAGAAACATATTTCAATTTGATATTGAGGGATCTCTCCAGTAAATCAATCCAAGAACACGATGTTTCTGCAGGCTTCATCACTTTCAAGAAAGCTTTGCAAGCCCATTATCAAATATGATGCACACAATTGTACAAAAATGCAATATTATGTAAAATTCCATTTTTTGAATAAATTATAAATATATGGCATGCAACACTAGTTCATAATCCCTCACTCCAATAACATATATCAGAGAAAGAGAGAGAGAGACCATATTTTCTATACAGAATGAGCTCAAGTAATATGTAAAAACAAATTACTCATGAAGAACATATTTTACAGTCCCTCCTATAAGATAAGGGGTATAAAACTCATTCATTCAACCCTTCAACCAGGTCCAAGAGTCTATTCTAGATAGAACCTCAGTAGCCAAAAAGCTTACAAGCCGCAAAAGTTTACACAAACAAGAAAAAATATAAGTCCAATAGCTATATGTATAATTTTTAATCAGAGAAGACGTAACACTGAGAAACATTGATAAGAATCATGTAGTGATCGATAACTTCACCACCACTAAATCGATGCAGGACGACTAATTGTTAAACTAACTTGTCCGATCAGATAATTTAGATAACAAGATAACTGAGGTGAGGAAAAAAAAAGAAAAAGAAGAGAGATAGAATTGGGACTTACGATGAAGAAATATAAAAAAAAGCATAATAAATCGGATAGGTTAGACAGAACAATAATCTGAGAGACAAACAAAAAGCATAGAACGAAATCCTAGCAAATGAATTCTTAATTCATCATCATCTCTATATTCTTTGTTGATAGCCACTGGCTTTTACATAAGCATGAATTACTAAGAAGGAAATTTTAAAAGAGAAATTTTAAAAATTCAAACTTTTGCATCCATAGTAATGAATGACAAAATCTATGTTATGATTATCAATCCATCTGAGCAACGATCAAGGAGAATAAGACTAGCAAAGCCAAAATTTACCTGCAGAAGAATCCTTGACTTTGCCATTTCCAGGAGTCTGCACCCTCTCTATGATGACTTCCTGGCCGTTATCCGGAGCACGAACACTTTCTAGGACACGAGAATGTGTTTTTCCAGAAGAAATTTCTTTGCTGCACAACATATTCACTTCCCCGATCTCTTGCCTACTGCTATTGTCGGATATAATCACCTCTGATAAGTTATCTTGACCAGTGTTTATATTTGTCATATTAACATCTTGGAATGTGTTGGATGCATCTCCGGCTTGTGAATTACAATTATCTTTTACTACTGACCCAACTAATCCAACATTTTCAGCATTTTCTGGCAACATATCATCCTGACAGGAATCTCTTTCCACATTTTGCCTGATGTCCATTGGATTTTCCATCTGAGAATCATGTCTATCATTTTCAAAGGTTCTCTGGCTGGTGAGATTTGCTTCCCCCAGTGATGTAAAACTGCTATCAATTACTCTCAGATTGTCATCTTTTTCAGTAGCACCATGTTCCTGATAAGATGATTGCTGATTGCCCACAGAATTATTATGCCCCTGATTATCTTTTTCATTTTCTAAGAGGCCCATGTTTTCTGATAGAGCAATTTCTCCACTGATCATGTTTTTAGAATGACTATGATCTTGATTAGTACATATATGATCTCCAAACTCCGCATCATGAGAAAACCTAGCCCTTAAACTCCTGCCAACAACAGGCAAAGAGATCATTGCTTTGAAGTTCTGCTTTGTTGCTGGAGGTCCCCCTGCAATTGTCAATTTTAAATTTGGCAACTGCTCCTTAGCATGCAAGGCAAAATTTTCAATACTACCCCTATAATCACCATGCTTTTCATTGCCCGAATCATGAGCTCTACCATTGTTTTCGTTAATTTCTGTAAATCCCACTACTCTAAACAACTCAAGTGGCAGGGGAGCTGTACGGAACGTCCACAATCCAACACTGGCTCCACAAAGCTTGCAATCTAAAACAACCGACTTGGGATCAGATTCCACTGTGTCACAAGTTTTGGTGTTTTTGTTTGCCTCCAAAACGTTAATGGTATCAGCATTGTGCGCACTGCTGCTCGGGTACTGACCAAGATGAACTGCCAGAGAATTCAAAGTATCAGCATCATTAAGAAGCGGGTTTGATTTATCCTTGCAATCAACAACATAAGGCAGTAAGCGCGGTTCCCAACCACATAGATTTATGAGCTTTTGTGCCTGCAATTTTTCCAATAAAATTACTTTTCAATAATAGAGCAAAAGCACTTAAATTTCTGGACAAGGCATGAACTTGTTAAAAAAGTTAGCAACTGAATACATGTTTATTGTTTTTATGAAACGCGACACAGGAACAATTTTTTGAACTGCAAATTATAGGAACAGAGTTGGCATGAAGTTATTGTTTTAGTGGAGGAAATTAAAACATTTATTCAAAGATAAGGATGGGGTGGGATGGTTTTTATAGCATCAACTGCTAATAGATGATGAGGGTCAACAACTTATGAGTCAAAACACTGCATCAACTATTCAAAGAACTCAGTAAAAATGCTATTAACCAAGACACATTTTCAATGAGAACTCCCTGCTTCACTGTCTCATGGAAAAGAAATCAATCTGCAAGCAAAAAAGGAGAAACCACAATGCAGATGGCATGCAGTTGCAAAAGATTTTTAAACATATACTAATATTTATAATCTAGAGTTTTAAGACAAAAGGCAAACGGCCAACAAAACCTGGTAATACAATTTAGCAGAACTTTCTCCATCCTCATCACCAAGGGATTCTGACTGAGAAATATCAGCTGACAGATTTCCATATTCCAGTGTCATAGAATCTCTGAGAAATTCTTCCAGCTCAGGGCACTTCATGTACTCAATGGCTGAAGAGGAAATCACTGGCAAAGCTAAAAGTTGTAAGAGTGCAGAAGAACGTTCTTTGGACCTATCAACTAACTCTAGAGGAGTTGTAGGAGGAAACTCCACCAGCATTTCATCACATGCATTGTCAATCCATGGGCAAAGTAACTTGTGCCCATTGTCCAGCTTCAAACTAAATACCAGTGCTGCCTTCTCAACTGAGAACATAGAAAATATTTCCCACAATGAATGTCTACTGAAATTTCCGACAGAATTTCTGATAAAACGTGGAAGCTACCGATATAATGATGAAAGAAATATCTTACAATCTTCTGTGCTAGTAACAATACATCACTATATTAAAGGATAAGCATCACCTACCTTGTTGTTGTGTCCAAGACGGTGGAGTAGAAAAAAGGAGACGTGCACCACAAGCTTCACAAGCTATTATATCCATATCCACATTGACCCAACCTCTTCTAGCACAATTTACAGCACTTACAACCTGATAATAATGGAGAAAATTATCATCCATCACTGCCTCATGATTTTCACCAAGTAAAAGAAGAGATACTAACCAAAGAAACCTTATGAAAATGCTTGAAAATCTAAATACTAAAAAACTGACAGATAGAGAAGTTCATGTGCTTCTCTTTGGTTCAATTCAGGTCTCTGAAGTCAGAAAAACAGAAAAAAAATTTTCCGAAATTCTTAATAACTAAATCTAATATCTTGAAAAGTTTAAATAGCCAGTCCTTTGAGTTATTCGTTCTAGAAGCTTTTTCTTTCTACAATCCAATAAGCTTGTGAAAATCAAACTTTTAGTATAAAAAAAGTCATTGATACTACTACGTGTGAGTAAAGCTTTCCTCAGATCATAAAAAGGATGACCAAAATAGCAAATGCCAAAAGCAGCTAAACTGAATCAGTCACTAAATGAGCAAAATATAATCCCTGAAGCCCTATCCTCAGTCCATGATAAGACCCAAACACTTGTATCTCATATATACTTAACAAAAAAATAAAGAATAGATATTTCCAATAAACCTTAGGCTTAGCAAACCATGTCATGGACTTGAATGTGGCCAGTCTCCTCATGAGATCCCCTCTGTCCCAAGGTCTACAAAGGGGAGCCTGTGATGGGTCTGCCAGAGCAGATGAATAACGCAACCCATCCGATATCTCCAGTCTCGTCTTTGGTTCCACTAGTGCCAGCACAGATGAGGTACTGGGACGCTTTTTTCCTCTCGACAATTCTACTCCAGATGAACTATCAAACAGATAAATATAGACAAACTAAACATGTGTAAAACTAAGAAATGAAAATTATTCAAAGCTCAAAGTTACAATATTAAGCTAGTAACTTTTTTGCTTAGGACAATCAGGGTATGAACTAAATCCTATATCCCCAAAACGCTACCTGCAAGCAACCAAACCAGGATGGTAATGGAAAGCAACATACCTTGATGCCAGCTAGTTTAAAAGCAGTGATTAAGCTAGCAAATATCATTTTGATTATTTACATATTAGCCAAAAGCAGCATATAAACTTCTTCTAAAGTTCCACTACACCATTTTCTAACATTTAGTAGACAATTTCACTATACAACATAAGTTGAATGATGCAACAAAATAAAAAAGAAAAAGTGTTAAGTAGAGCATAAGATTTGTAGTTAGAACAAATAAGCATAATGGAAAACATGAAAAAAATGTCTAGACACCACATAATCGGAAAACATTGAAACAATTATACAGAACCAGATCGAGAAGAAGGTAAAGCATCTAAACACAATCAAAAGATGGCCAAACAATGTAAAGAATGGCGATGATCAACAAAATTAACCAAAAAAATTGCAAAATCAAACCAGCGACTCTGTTTGTTTCATCATTAAGCAAACGCCGTATCCAAAAGCAAGAAAACTCACTAATCAAATTATTTCGACTAACACCATGAGTGAACGAAACATATATCCAGTTAACTAAGTCACGCTCAGTTTCTTATTTTCCAAAAAACTAAAATAATCATTTTAAATAAAAGCAAAGCGTCCTGAAACCTTTCCTTCCATTTCTTTCTATTTTCTTAGCCACCAAACCAAAATTTTAACAAGAAATTCATAAAAGAAAAAAGATAAGCAAAGAGAACGGAAAACGGACCTGGAGGAGGAGCCAGGAGTAGATTTGGGAGCCTTAAAGAGCTTGTCCATAATCTGATTGAATCTCTTCTCCGAATTCTGCGCCATTTTTCTTCGAGTTCTTGTTTGCTTTAGTTTTTAGCCTATTAGCTTTTCAAACACTTCGTTCTCTTACCGTTCAGAAGAACAACCCCGTTTGAAGGTCGTTCCGTCAGAGCCCTCGAAAGAGAGAAAGGCTTCTGGTGTTCCATTCGCCGCTAAACCAAAGCAAATAAAACGATGCGTTTAATGCATTTCAGACGGGCGTTTTTTATTTCCTCATAGCGATGCAAGATGGGCCGAGCCGAGTTAACTCAGTCCAACATTAAAATTGTGCTGGGTCGGGTGGATTGGACCCGCGTACGTGTTTCTCATGTTGGGTCGGGCTGATTTCTAGGTATTGGATTTATTGAGACACCTAGGCCTAATATAATTTTAATATATTTTTAGTATAATTTTAAATATTCTACAATACCCTTTTTCAGATTTTAATAAATTGAAATTTCCAATTAATTTTATGAGTTGGGTCAGACCCAAAAGAAATTTACTGAGCCAATTTGACTCAGCTCGTCCAAACCAATTACAACTTAATGATTTTTTTTTCTGAACATTATGGTAGTTTTCTTATGATACAATTTATGGGCAAAAGGCAATTTAATGAAGAAACAATACTTTATCCTGTAAACTTGAGCTTATAATGTTAATTATAAACACTATTACTTTTAGCCATTAGATTATAATTTTAAAAAAAAGTCAATACCCAATGTGTGTGTATGTGTGTATATATATATAATATATGTATATATGCATGTAACAGTTTCCAGATTACATGCAAAACAAAGATTTTCCAAGTATTGATAATCTGATTTTACTCAACAACCTAAGCGTCTAATTGATTTTGAAAACCAGACGTTTATGTGGTCAAACAACGGCTTAATATTCCATCAACCCACTTTCTCCACTTCTCAACTTCTCCTTCCTCTTTTTTCTCATCTCCCCCTCAACTTTCTCCCACTTCACTTCTTATATAACTCCTCATTTCACCTACACACAAACTATACTTAACTCAGACCTCCAACAATGGCTTCTCCAATGCCTTTTCTCACCTTGCTTTTCTTCTCTCTTCTGCTCCAACTACACTCTGTAACTTCTGTAGATTTTCAAGTCGGCGGCGACGACGGCTGGGTTATGCCCAAATCCAAGAACGACGCTGAGAGTTACAACCAGTGGGCTGCTAAAAATAGGTTTCAAGTTGACGATACTGTCCGTAAGTTCCACTTTCTTTATTAGGTTCTGAAGGATTTCTCTCTTTGAATTATATATATATATATATATATAGACACACACTTACGTACATACATGTAGGTTTCAAGTACAAGAAAGACTCAGTTATGGTGGTGACTGAAGACGAGTACGCTAAATGTCGATCCGCCCATCCAGTCTTCTTCTCCAACAATGGAGACACTGTCTTCAAGCTGGACCGACCTGGTTTGTTCTACTTTATCAGTGGGGTCACAGGCCACTGCGAGAGGGGTCAGAAGATGATCATCAAAGTTCTGGAGAACACAACATCTCCACCGTCCGATCAAAATCATAATAGCACTGCACATTCTTCATCCGGCAGTGGTGGTGTTAGAATGACCGGATTTGGGTCTAGCATGGCTAGTACTCTTACTTATGTTACGATGTCGTTTTTGGGGTTTATTTTCTTCTAGTTATTATTATGTATTAGATATAGGATATTGTTATTTGGATTCTGGGATGTTTGAATTTTTGAAACCTTTATTATTCTTGGTAATTAAAGATTGGTTAATTAGTTGGATTTTAATTTTTTTATTTTTTTATTTTTACTATTTTTTATTCTTATCGTCTCTGGTGTATCAGCTTAATTATAACCAGATTTTCAATATTTATCCGAAGGTTTATTTGGGTTGACATACCCACCACTCCACTTCAATTTCAATTTCAATTTCAATTTCTACAACGGATCATACCACCTGGCAAAAACGATGTCGTCTTTCTCAATGACGACGAGATACGTAATTGTAATTAGAAAACACATTCAGTTGAGCAAACGTTGTCGTTCCCGCACTGATTGAATTTTCTTTTCCCAATCCCTGTTTATCGTTTTGAGTCTTCTTAATCCTAATAAAAACACCCTCAAAAAAAAATTAAAGCACATTTAAATTTAAAAAGCATACAACTAAAAAATTGAATAATTTTAGGGTAAATATGAAAAAATACTATAAAAAGGAAGACAATTTAAATTGCAAATAAAGATACAAAACGTAATAGAGGGATTATCATTGTTCTCAAGACCAACTGATTGAATTATACAGCTTTTGGCAGCTCTACTGAATCTGTTTCAATTTGTGCAACATTCACATTTGAAGCAATGTCTAGACTGCCACGGAAGGCACAAACAAAGATAAACAAGGCGGACAAAATTACTGCAGATCCATGTGACTCGGTGTGCGATCTGCTGGCACGGATTCTTCTTCTAAAACCTAACAAATTGTCGAGTATCATCCTCGACCTTCTGTCTTCCATAAGGATTGCTTTCGCTGAATCCATTTCGACTTCCTTCTGTCTTCCGGATTTTCTTTCTAAATTTGGAAGCACTACTGTCAATGGTCAGGTTCACTTTCGGAGGGCAAGAAAAGCAAAATGAAGCAGCAACAGCCTGTTCAATTCCAATATCAAAAACTATCATTAGGTAATGCAATATGTGAAATGACAGTACCCTTTTTTTCCTGGAAGAAATACCATGGTTTCTCAGACATTATGTGGGCATTTCTAACATTTATGGTAAATATCATAACTTCATTTGAAATCAACTAAACTATCTAATAAACTGATGTCTACAAAATAGTAAATCGCTATGAAATGAAATGTTAGAATATTTCCATCAAAGCAGAAATACTACACCTTCTAGAATATCACATGGCATAAATGCTTCGTTTGGATTTATGAACTGGATTTTGGAATCATGACTAAAATTGCAACTTATTTGAGATACAAAGAATTTTTTTTTTTCTCATCAATTCATCAGTCCCATAAATTTCTGAAACAAGACTTGATAAAACTCGTATATGATGATGCATCTAATTTTTTACATCAATGACATTTGGCAGGCCAAGGTAATGGCACTTCAAAATAAAACAGAGAGGTTGATGCTTGTAATCATCAATGAATTTTGAAATTCTCACATGGGACCTTCATTATTTTCAACATAACAGATCGTGGATGTCAATCTATGCCACCACCAATTTCAACCATAAAGCTGCCACATTGAGAAACAGAAGGGCTATAAAGATAATCTCTTTTCAACAAAAAGCTTTACCTGAAGATCTAGGCGGTGAACATTAAAAATGTCCTTCATAGAGTGCGAGTTATATGCCAATATGTAGGATCTATATGCATCTTTAGCTGATTTATTCAAATAATAGTTGTTGGCTACCAACTTCTCCTGCACAAATCCAAGCAAAATCCAATTAAGTTACTGCCCACGATTATCCTATATATAGAATACAAGTAATATGAGGACGCAGAAGATTACCAAATGAGACTGAACATTTGCCAATTTTTTGTCATCAAATTCATACTCTTTAACAGGAACTTTTGCTGCCTGAGTGTTAAACATAAAACAAGGAGTAAGAATGAAAAAGCAACAAGCATATAGAACCTTCTATCTTATCAACCACTAATACCAAGCCCACTTGTTTGTATGTCATATATTCTCTACGTCGCCCTCAAAAGTGGCTGGCCCTTTAGAGACATTTCAATATTGTCTTTCTCCTAATTTAACAGAAACTTAGAACAAAGTTCTAACATGGAAGGATATAACCAAATACATGATGTGATCACAGAGAATTACGTGGTTCTATTTACTACTAAAGACTTTTTCTCTGATAGTTAAAATTGGTCACTGCATCAGGGAGCATGCATATCAGAGTGTCTTGTCAAATGACAATACTATACCTTCAGGTAACGAAGGAATTGCAACTCTTCTGGAATCAGGAAGAGTAGGGCATTTCCTCTTGCTCCTTCTCCACGGGCTGTCCGACCAACCCTATGAATATATTCCTGAAAACAGTCTAGTTAATACTATGCTTATATTTTCAGGGAAAAAAATCTTGGAAACAGTGGTTCCCCATACATGATCAGATTATGGACATCTATAAGTAAATATGTAAAGAACATTAAATCCATTGGAAAGGAAGGTGCATAATACCTTGGGTTCATCAGGAGGATCATATTGAACAATCCAGTCCTGAAAGGGAAAAAATAGAAAAAGACAAAAAAAATGAGAGGAAAAAAAAAAGGAAAACAATCATGCGAACACATTAGTCCATGGTTCCAGCTTTGCAAGGAACATAATGCATTCAGAATAATGATGATATAACCACAAATTGATCCAACTCCAAGTAGAGGCCATATTATCTTTATGATTATAGAAAATCTTTCCTGATTTTGTGCCTTCCCCCTTGAATGGTAGAGCATGGTAGGCATACAATTTTTAAAAAATTTGGATGGAAATTTTAAACATTTCAAATCATACCAGCTTCTCATTTTGTTATAGATTAATCATACCCATGTAAATAATTTTGAATAGAGTAAATAAACAAACAGTTATTTGTTAATTGGTAAAGCATTGTATAGAGTAAATAAACAGTCAAGCACAGAAAATTCTGCAACTAGCATCAAGAAAAAGGAGCACCCTTAAAGATTTTACAAGCTACCACCAGCTAATAGTGAATAAATTAACATACCACAGCAGGAATATCAAGTCCTCGAGCAGCAACATCAGTACATAACAAAATTCCTTTTTCTGCTTTGCAGAAGTCAAAGAACGTTGTGGTACGTTTCTGCTGCTTTTGCTTTCCATGAATATCAAAGCAATCCACCTTAATGTATCTAAGGAGTTCGGCGTGGAACTTGACTGAGTTACATGAAGAGAAGAATACCATCACTTTCTTTGACTGATTCCTCCTTAAGAAGGAATATAGAAGAATAAATCTCTTGCTACTGGGCACAACACAGTAGCCTTGTTGCAGTCCTTCATTGGTCACCTACAACAATGCTCACATCTGGTTAGGAAAAACTAGTATTTGCAAGCATGTTCCATGCATGTGTATAAAGTAAACTCCAACATTCTACCAACCTTGCGTCTTCCATCATCCACATCAATATAAATAGGGGTTGTCTGGAATGACAAGCGTGCAAGATCCTCAACCTGCAGAATAAATTGGAAAAACAATCATAATCTGGGTACAAAGTCAAAACATGAAAATAAACCGGAAACAAAAAGAAAAATCTGGGGATGAAATATGGAACATCCTACAGAAAATGCAATTTTGACAAGCTTGGAAATTGGAAACCAACCAACATCAAACTTGAGATCTCAGATATCATAAAGAAAATCAACAATCAGACAATGAAAACCCACCTTCTTTGTCTGAGTAGCTGAAAACAAAGCAGTTTGCCTATTCTGCAACACATGATTAGAACTCAATTAGCAGAAATGCCTTACAAACAAGCCAGAGAAAAATAGATGGACAAACATGCCAGAGAAAAATAGATGGACAAACATGCCAGAGAAAAATAGATGGAAGCAGTTGATAGAACATAAACAACAATCTTTTTCTTGCATAATTTATCAAGGAGGATTCTTTGTTTTTCTTCTTTTTTTTGAAATAATTGTTTCTCCTCCTCCTTGTGAACAAATCTTTTTATAATAGAGGAAAAATAAATTAAGAACCATCCTTTATATCACAACAAAACAAGGACGGAATTCACTGCTGCTGATTGTTACTTTTTTATCATAGAGGACAAATAACAAAATAATAATGGAATTCAGTGGTGCTGATCTTTGCTTTTAACTATTCTTCAGTTCCCAGATAAGATCCATATAAGGTGTGCACTATTCTCCAACCAAAAAATAGGTGTAAAATCCTTTACGCAAACAAGCCAAACAACCACAGAGATTACCTTAGGAAGAAGCTTGATAATTTGTTTCATTTCTTCTTCAAAGTTTGCTTCCAATATTCTATCTGCTTCATCAATCATAAGGCACTGCAGTTCCAGGAATTTATAGAAAATATGAATACGTATTTAAAAAGAAATAAATAATCAATTTACAAATTAACAGTACATAAAAATTCCCATAAGGCACTGCAGGTGTTGGGAAGTTAATGTTTGCAGAAATCTGAACGATTGGGAAATCCAAGATTACCAGAATTTGGTAAGTATTCTGGAAGTGCAGGAACTAAACAACTATGCTGACTGTTTAAAATGGAAGCTGAATCAAAATGGAGTGTTTTCTGCGAAGTCTTATTACTGCTACATCACGGGTGAAGGGGGTGACAGAATCTGTAACTTTCCAGCAAACCAGATCTGGAATTCTAGAGTTACTCCTAGGATTGGTTTCTTTGCATGGGAGGCAGCTAGGGGATGTATTTTGACGCAAGATAAATTAGCTTCGAGGGTTCATTTTATTGTCAACAGATGTTACATGTGTTTGTCAGCTGAGGAGACCTGTAATCATCTTCTACTATGGTGCCCTGTGGCTTACGAACTATGGAGCATGGTGTATGGGCTTCTGGAGCTAAATTGGGTAGTGGCTGGTACTGTCAAAGAAGAAATATGGGCATGGACTGGGCTCAGGCTTGAAAATGATTGCAACAATTTGATTCCTCTCATGATTATGTGGATCATCTGGAAAGAAAGAAACCTTAGAGTTTTTCGGAGAAAGGAGAATTTGGTAAATAGATTGAGAGATAGGTAGTTTCATTTTTTTGATAATATGTTGGGGCGTGATATGATGAATGGAGTGGATTTTGGGATTGTCATTGATACCCTTAGTAGAATGTAAATTTACTGTACACGGGGATACCCCTTTTGGTACTAAGTTTACAATACCACATTAGCACTTCTCATTTCAAAAAAAAAAAAATTCCATGATGCATACATAAAATAGTTTCAACTCAAGCACAGTTTTGCAACAGAGAATTAGGAACCTAAAATCTTATCTCCAAATGCCAGAATTCCGCTTCAATACGCATGCAATATACCATTAAACTTGTCTTGGCTAAGTTCACTCGGCTATTTAACCCAGAACAATCAGACTTCTAGTGCCAATATCTCAATCAATAGCGATCATAAAATATTAGGCAACTTCTCCGAAGAAAACCTAGCTCTCCCTAAGTCTTTCTCATGTTATACTTGCCAATAGACACCGTTAGACCACCTCTACACAGTGTAACTCAAAGCTCCTCAACCAATTAGCCAATTCACCTCACCAATTGCCAAATAAATATATGTTACATAGGCATTGCACATTATTTGGCAAACATGATTCAGTGAAAGGACGAATATCAAACTCTGGAAAAAGTTTAAAGAAATTGCAAACAGCAAATAAAAGGAGTCCAAAATCAAAAGTCACCTACCGAAATACTTTGAGAAACAGAAATAAAATACCATATTGGAAAGAAAATATCAAGAATTTTGTATGCAACCTTCAGGTTTTTATATATAAATCCCTTAGTATTTTGAAGATGATCAAGAAGTCGACCAGGAGTTGCCACTAATAAATTTACTCCTTTCACAATACGTTCTGCTTCTCCTCTTCTCGCTGAACCACCAATGACCAAGCCAAGAGTCTGCGAGTGGTACTTGAGAAGGTCCTTTGCGACAGCATGAGTCTGAAATGTTAGGTTAAAAATTAGAAGATGAATGCGTAAGATGATTGAGAGAGAGAGAGAGCGTATGCAACATATCACAATGACATATTCATCCCAATCACAATCCAAACTCTTCTACTTTATAATGAAATTTCCAGCTTTACTAAATTCCAAAATATTATTGCTTTCTAGTAATATTTTTCTACTTCGATTGCTTAAATAGGAAAAGTCCAGGAGTGTACTAAAAGGCAATCGCATTGGTACCCAGTAGGTAATCAACTCATGCATTGCAATAGTTGTTATCTTCAGTAAATAATTCATTCATCATAATATACCATGCTTACACTTTTAGTATGCACATTAAAGGGGAGGGAGGAGGATTGACTATTACTGTTTCTCAAACGATTAATTAAGAAACTATCGGAAATATTAGGTAATTCTGTTCAATGGTCAGCAGTTGGATAAAATGTCAAAGTAACATTTAGCAGATTGGTGAAAGGATCAATAGATAAAATCCACTCAATGATAAACAAATAACACAGTTAACCAGTTTTTTTTTTTTCTAAAAAGAAGTTTCAACTGAAATTAATAGACAGGAACAAAAACACTGCACATGCAACACCGTTGTCTTAACAGCACTAGAATGAGTACAACTTCTGAAGACTTTTCACCTGAATAGCAAGTTCTCTTGTAGGGCAAATGACAATAACACCTGTACCATTGCGAGGAGTGAAATGAACATTATATAATAACTCAATAGCTGGTATTAGAAAAGCAAGTGTTTTCCCAGATCCTGTTCTTGCAGCTCCAAGGACATCTTTGCCAATCATAAGTGGTGGGATTGCTCTGGCTTGGATCTGCAATTTCAATGACAGGCTTACCTTTATAAGCTCAAACAAGACAAACACTCCAATACAAACTTAAACAAACTTAACACTCTCAAATCAACACATGACGAGCATAATCCTTCAAACCAAAAACTAATAAATGGGGAAAAAATTAAGAAACATAAACATTACCTGAGTCATATGCAAAAAACCGATCTCTTTGATGGACCTAAAAGTATGCTCAGATAATCCCAGTGACTCAAATGACTCAGTACTCATTATCCCACTCCCTCTCTGCATAGCTTTAGTTTCTTGTTCATCCTTCTCTTCCCCTACAGCTTCCTCTTCCTTCTCTTCCTTTTGCCTCTCTTCCTCTGCCTCACCATCCACTCTCTCCTCCCTCTTCACTTTCTTATTCTGCTTCTTTTTCTTCATCTTCTTATCCTCCTTGTCACAGATCTTATTTTCTTCCACTTCATCTTTCTCAACATTGCCGTTAGAATTTTCCTGGTCCAATTTCTTTGCCCTGTTTCGTTTCCGGTTCCTCTTCTTCTCCTCCTCCAGGCTGTTGACTACTTGCTCCATGTTTGATTAGTTACTTTGCTATACCTGCTACAAGAGTTGAGCAATCAACATGATATATTTTCTCACATTCCAGGCAAAGGTCATAATTTACTTTATTAGAAATTTTCTAATCGATTTATTTCTGGATCAACTAATAAGAGAAGGCTAAGATACTTTTATTTCGTACGTTTCACAAATATAATCTATTAGTTTACAAACGTATTATACATGTTAATTGTCAAATTGATGAACATTATCATTTTATGATTAATGCTACTTATTCAACAAAGTCGATTGGTTGATAAAAGTTGATTTTCTGTTACGATAAATGACAAAGCAATATCTAATCCAATGTTAATAAGGGGTAGAGTGAAAGATTCGCCAAGGTGTGACATCCCATTGTATTAGAGGAGTAAAGGATTTGCTGGTAATGAAAAAGGTATGCTTCTGATAAAGAAAGAAAAAGTATAGCTTCTAATAAAGAAAGAAAAAGGTATTGCTTCTAATAGTTGCCCGTTCATAAATTCACTCAACCACTTTTTAGTCTTGCTATACTACACTAGACTACTAGACACGACCCTAGGATGAAGCTGAAGCAGACACAGTAAAGTGAAGTCGACTTCACAAGTGATTCTGTAACAAAACGACCTTCTCTTCTATACACACCAGAAAATCATGCAATCCCTGGGTTTTCTAAAAACGATGCATTACTTCGGTTAAAAAACCAGACTTCACAAGTGATTCTGTTAGAAACTGACCTTCTTCTCTTCTCTACACACCAGAAAATCATGCAACCTCTGGGCTTTCTAATAATAATGCATTACTTTGGTAAAAAAAATAATAAGAAAACCAGTACATAATACCTTTACTCCGTTGAAGAGATGACTCGCTGCTACGCCTTCACGTGAAATCGAACCCGAAAACCTGTAAAACAAAGAACATGCAGAAACCCTAGGGTTCCTGGTGTCGGCGGGAGAAGAAGAGAGCGGCAGAGGAAGAAAACGCGAATCTGGTTTTTTTGTGAAGAAGAAAACGCGATTCCTCTGGTTCTGGCGCACCAAAAAGCAGATGAAACCGTTTAATGAAACGGTGCGTTTTGAATGCGGGCTGAGGGATATTGGGCCGAACGAAGCAAGCGGTTTCACACGGGCCTGTTAACAGATTTAACATTTTTATTTTTTTGTTTCTATTATTTATTTTTTCTATTTTAAAAAAATCGCATATTTACATATTTATTTTTTATTATAAATTAGCTTGCTTACAAAAAATATTTCATGACTTTTGACCTTTTTTATTTTAAAAATTAAACATATTTTTAGGATACATCATTAGCACGTATTAATCATATCATTAATTTAATAAGTATAACATTGATTAATATATTTTGTAGAAAAAATATTAACGCACTAGACTATTACCCAAATGGAGAATAAAGTAGTAGGTCCAAAAATTTTAAAAAACATAGTTTTATATATTATATTAAACAATATAAAAGATACATTTTATAATCAAATTTACAACTAGGGTGTTAAGTTATCATGTCTTTAAATTATGTAATTGTATTTAAATTTAAAATTATTGTAGAAAAAGTCGTGAAAATAATAATTATTCAAAAAAATTAAGTGAAAAAATTAAAGTGCTAGTATAACTAATTTTATATTATAAATACATTTTCCATTTAATTTTATGGTCGTTAGCAAAATTATAGTTAATTATTCAACATGATTAATAATATATTGAAAGTGATTTTTATCATTAAGTTCTAATGATGATAAGATAAACTATTAAATAAAAAAAAAAAAAGGGACATGATGATAACCCATTGCGCTTCCCACTGCCTTCATTTGTTTGTTGATGCCATGTTTGGTATATTTGTGAATTTAATTAATAATCACTTCGTTACACAAAATGAATAATTAAATTTAATACACATTTCAAAACAATTGAAATGATATAATATGTATTTAAGAACAAATAACTTTGTATTTTTAGAATGTATTTGGAATGCTTATTATACTAAGTTACTCATTTATTTGATATAATCGATAAAAATTTTGACTAACATCCCTTATACAATAATCAAAACGTACTCAAAATATGAAATTTCAAATTAACTAAGAGAGAAACTTGAAAATAAAAACTATAAATATAACTACGGAGTCTTTAGGCGTCCCCTTCGTCGTCTTCCTGCGGAACGGGCTCGGGAACAATGTCTTCCTGATCTAAAATGGTTAAATAAGGAATGAGCTACACCAGCCCAGTAAAGATATCACATTATCTCACCGCCACGGAGGTAAAGTTGGGTAGAAAACACAAAAAGACCAATGGAGCATAATTTATAACAAATTCGTTTATTAACATAAAAAAAACATTTACTTTCCACTTACTACGGTGAAGTTCACAAAACAACATACGAAAGCAATAACATTATCATCATCATGAAATCATATGAACTGTATAACATAATACTTACCACGCATTTGCTTTTCAATCATTACACAGCATATTTTCCTCATTTACCAGCCTATTAGTATCCATGGGGATCCATAGGGGTCCCGCTACCCGTGAACCCTTAACATTTGTAATCAGATTCCAAGGTCGTCCCCATACCTCGTCCGGTATGGGTACCAAAACCATAAACCTCAATACTCCGTCCGGTATGACGGTGAAACAGGTTGTCCCCATACCCCGTCCGGTATGGGCGCCAAAACACATAAGGTCTTCATACCCCGTCCGGTATGAGAGACCACAATCCCGGTAGGGTTCCCTACAGATCCGGTCCGTTCACCATCTCCCAGGATATCTAGTCAAGCTGACCACATTATACAATTATCAATTTACATTACCTTTTATTCCTTTTTCCTCGGTCAGCATCATCAAATCACACACAAACCAGTAAACCAGTAATTTATGCCAAACAAGACAACACACAACATCGGGTTCTCAGTCATTCAACCCATAATCAATAAAACAGTGATATTTGCACATGAAACCATGAAATGAAAACATCAGGCATCATACTGCATTTAAAACTGTAAAATAGAACAAACAATAATTGACCGACAAATACACCAGACTCAGACTCCATTAGCAACCTTAAACAATTTAACACATCTATTGATTCATGAAATACCGTTTTATCATTTATTGAACTTTAATACCGTGATAGGAAATAGGATGAGGGGTCTTTACTTGTTTCGGGGTCTGAATACGGCTCTACAGTGTGCCTACAGACTGTCCCTAATTTTTCCTGAATTTTTTCCCGGGAAACTGAAACGCACTACTGGTACCTGCACGTGTCCCAAAAAATCTCAAATTAGACCCAGGGCCCCTTTCGGCCAATATCGCAATTCCGGCACGGCGGCTCTGCCGTGCTCCGGCGACGACGGTGGCGATTCACCTCGGGTTGGCCGTTTTCGACCGTTTCCGGCCGAATTCGGCCACACTTGCATCGGTCCCTGCGATAAAACAACCCTAGGACCCTCGGTGGGCCAAAAAATCACAAAAAATCGAAGGTTACCGGCGGCGGTGCTCTCGGGTGCGGTGGCTCTCCAGCGTGAATCGTGTTTTGGTGATTCGGCTCCAATCAACCTGTAGAGAAAAGAACGGTGATCACAGTGGTATAAAATTTGTATCGAACGGAGGCCGGGAAGGGCCTCATCGGAGGTAAAAACCGAGGAGGGGCGCGGTGGCGCCGCTGGGTTTCGGCTGAGTTTTCTGGCCGTTTAGCCGGTGGTTTGGCTCCGGTTTGGCCATAGGTGGACTCAGCGTCGAAAAACGAGCAAGGGAGAGAAAAATTACCTCGATCGGCGGTCGAAAACTTCCCCGGTGCGGCGGCGGGTGGCAGCAACCGGCTCCTCCGGCGACTGGTTCTTCTTCTCCGGCGAGCACTGGTGGCTAGGGTTTCTTTGGTCCGGTGTGGGTGGGGGTATTTATACCCTTCGCCTTTTAATCTTGACCGTCCACCAAGATTGAATCTGGGTTGTTCGATCGCGATTTAATTGGGATTAAATTTGGGCCGTTCATCGCGATGCAATCTGGGCCGTCCGTGCCTGATTGAATCTGGGTCGTCCGTGCGCGTGAATCTGGGCCGTCCGTGCGCATGTTTGATTTGGGTCGTCCGTGCGCGCGGGAACGGATCTAGGCCGTCCGATCGCGCGCACGCGGATCGCCCCCGTGGCCCGTCCCCTGGCCAGCGTGTCCTTGCCACGCGGCGCGTTCTGGTTGGCCAGGGCTGCTGACTGGGCCGCTGACGTGGCTGCTGACTTGGTGCTGACGTGGCACAACTTTTCTAAATTACGTTTTGACCCCCGATTTTCGATTTTCGATTTTCTTTTTAAAAATACCCCAAAAATCTAAATTTTCACCCCTTTTTCTCAAAATCAATTTCAATTAAATCCAAATAATATTTTTACCCAATTTTATCATTATTATTATTTTTATTTTTATTAAATTAAATTAAATAAATCAATTAAAATTTTAATAATTACAAAATAAACTAAATAGATTAAATTAAAAATTAATAATAATAATAATAAAATTATTAGGTGTTACAATCTATTTAGAACGAGACATATAAAAACTTTTAATTGAAAAATAATAATATTATATCCGATCCCGAAATTTGGCTAGAGATTGATTTTAAAAATTAAAATTAATATATAAAATATAATTTTTAAATTTTTAAATTTTTATTTAATTTAAAAATTAAGAAAAAAATAAGTAGATGATAAAATTGAAAAAAATTTTGAAAAAAATTGATGAAAATTTGAGTTCGAATGATATTTTTGAAAAAAAAAATCGAAAACTAGGGGGTTAAAATGTAATTTTAAAAAAATGTGTCACGCATGATCGTCTAGTCAGCAATTCCGACGAACCGGAGCGTGTCTCGTGGCAAGGCACACTGACTCGGTGCCACGCGGGAGGTCACGCTGGCAATTCACGTGCCCACGATCGGACGGTCTGAATTTGTTCCCGCGCGCATGGACAATTCGGATCTGTTCCCTCCTCAGGTGCGATCGTACAGTTCAGATCAAATCGCGATGAACGGTCCACATTCATTTTTTCTTTAAATGCGATCGGACGATCGAGATTAAACGCAATAAACGGTCCAGATTAAAAAGAAACAGATATAAATATTTTACTTCACACCGAACCCTAACCCTAGCTACCTGCCCCTGCTAAAGAATAAGAATTAATCACCAGAGAAAGGAGTTGACCGCCGCCCCTTGCTGCGCCAGAGCCACCTCCGACCGCCAAAAAAAGGTAAAAAAAAATTTATTTGCTTGAAATTTAATTTTGAATACCCTTATTGCCAAACCTAAGCAAAAAGACCAGCGGATGAGCCGAAAACCACGAGTAAAGCCTAGAGGCACCGTCGCAGAAAAAAATAAAAACTGTCTCCAATAACACCCTTTCTGATTCTCGTTTCGTGCGATTTTTCCATTATTGTATTCACCATTATGTTTTCCACAGGTTGACCCAAAAAAATGTTCAACCACGAAGATGAGCCAGCGGAGCCGCCGCATCGGAAAACCCCGCCGCTGGTAAATTTCTATTTTTTGATTTTTTTCGGCCAACCAAAACCCCTTAACGTATTTTCTCGCATCGCTGAGTATAAAATCGGCTGAAAATGACTAGTTCGAGGCAAACCACTACCGCGGACGGCAGTGCCATCGCTGGAGCATCGCGGTGCTACTGTACCAAAATTCTAAAATTAGCGAAAAAAGGTTTTTAACACCGATTTTGAGTTTTTTTTTTTTTTTTGTATTTCTAGATACTTGAAGCGTGTTTTAGTCTTTAAAGAAAAATTTAGAAAACCTTGAGACCGTTAGTAGGCGCAGCTGAAAGTTTAGTATTTCGAATACCGATTCCGATAAGAATCTCTCACCTTATTATTTGTTATGGAATTGAAGTTTAATTATAAATAATACGACGTTTTATGTAATTTAAAAAATATCGATAATTAATTATAGGTTACTAATATAGCCGGAACTAGTTATTTATCACTATTTATTCTGTTTTAACTGATTGATTGAATATACAGTTTTAAATGCATAATAATACGCTAGAGTTGACAAGATGATTCAGTTGTGCTTCTTTTATACATTTATTGCTTGTTTTACGTAATTTACAGTTAAATTGTAGAACTGAAAATTAAATGTAAACGGAGAATTACTTGATTAATTGAATGAATGAATAGTAGTATTACTGGATATTATGAGAGATGATGGACGAATCGAGTACATTAGGAACCCTACCGTGAATGTTGTCTCATATCAGATAGGGTATCGATGATTGGTATTTTGGCGCTCATACCGGACGAAGTATAGAGACGGTGTGTTTTACCCTCATACTGAATGGAGTATTGAAGAATGATATTTTTGGTGCTCATACCGAACGGGGTATGAGAACGGCCGGTTATTTGACAATGTTTCTACTCCAAAAAGCCATTTCGTAATTTTTGCATGTATAAATTAATTTGATAAGTATCATCTATTTCTTTGTCCATTACTTTTAGTAATTTTGTCATGATCATTGACTTCCCAAATTATTGTGGTTTTTCATTATTTGATGGTCTTTCACAATCTGCTTCCTCAACCCAATCCATAAATTATTGGTTGTGTTTATCATGGTGGTTTCATGCTTGTGCTTTTCTTTTTTGTCATGGTCAATTTTCTTGAAAAATATGTCACTTTATTTACCATTTGATCATGCTAGAGCAATTGCTTGAGTAGAAGGACCTAATCGAATCTTTGTGGGTGGATTGCCATATTACTTTACTGAAGCACAAATAAGAGAGTTACTATAATCTTTTGGGTGTGAGCTTAGCTTTAGCTTTTCTGCCCCTTTCTCATTGTCATTTTTAACATGGACCTCTATGAACCCTCCATATTTTGTAAAATAATTCTATTAAGCTAATCCTAATACTCAAATGCTTCTCACATGATCTGTTGCAGCCCTCTCCGTGGCTTTAACCTTCTTAAGGATAAAGATACAAGGAATTCTAAAAGACATGGTTTTTGTGTTTATAAGGTAAGTAAATTCAATCCTTAAAAAGCTTATAGTTTGGTTTAATAAGGTCTAAAAATTATTTATTATTTTATTATGGTTTGATCTTTGAGCCAAGTTAAGCCATGGTATTGGTGTATATCTGTGCATATAAAGAATAATTTAGAGGTCTTAGATGATTCTGATTAGCTGGTGAACTAAATGTGCAAGATATCTCAGGATCCAGTAGTGATAGATGTTGCATGTGCTGTGCTTAATGGGTTGAAAATGGGTGATAAGACACTAATTGTTCGTTGTGCAACTATAAGGTTGGTGTTATACAATAAGGGTTCGCGCGTAGTAGGGATATCCCTATAGACCCTCGTGGATACTGGTAAGCAGTATAAAAAGAAAAGTTGTTGTTCTGATTAATTGAATATGAGATTATGATGTTGTTTTATTACCTTTATAGGTCGGTTTTGAAAATTTCACTACGATAAATGTACAATAAATGATTTTATTTATGGTAAATAAATTTACTTAAATTAATAGTTCAATTAGTTATTTTTACGATTTTTATCAACCTTCATTTATGTATCGGTGAGTAGTATGATATTTTTACTGGAATAGTGGACCTTATTATTTCATTAACCATTTCCAATTAAGATGACCAAAATTCAGATTTCGATCATGATCTACAAAAGGGTTGGGAATAGGATGCACTGTTGTTTACTTTCTATTTATTTCTTTGATTTTTTTGTTATTTTTTTAGAAGGGTCATTCTCGTAATTTTATTGAGTATTCAAAATTATTGTATAATGAATGTAAACCCTAATTTTATTATTTCGCTTCCACATTTAATTTATAATTTATTTTCTTTTAAATTACGAACTGTTACAAATGAGATGAATCAAAATAAAAAATTAAAAATCAGGAATGGGTATAAAATATGTATGAATTTAATGGTTTCCTCGACTACCTCGTACGTATGCATAATTACATTTTAAATATGTATGTGTATATAATTATTAAATATTTAAGTTTATAATTTTATAATGTTATTTTTTTTATTTGTTATTAAGTTTTAGTTATGTTATAATATTATTTTAAACTTTATAAATAATATTTTAAAATAAATAATAAGTAGTGGATAAAAATTTTGGTTATATGTTAACTGAAAATCTGGGGTGTTAATTAGCGTAGTAATTTGTTAAAGAGTTTATTATGATATATTAATTAGTGAATTCGAAATTAAGCGTGAATTAATGAGTACGATTGGATATTAATTATATCATATTGTTATTGTTAAAGCTTACTCTTCCTTTGCACTAAATCTGTGACATCATAATTAAGACTGAATAATTATTTAGTAACTATTTAATTTAATATGATTGAATATTATCTATTTCTTAATCTCTAATATTAATTAATACTTTCTTTCAACTTGGTTGAATTTCATAATTTTTTTTAAAGAAAAATCCGACCAAAGTTAAAAGATAAAAAATGAATTTATGGTTGTATTATAATTTATAATTTAATTACATACATATATATCCAGTTTCTATGGTTAGTGTGAGTTTTCTTTTTTATGAATAGAGAGGGAAAGGCGAGTTAAGTAGCTATGATCAGGACCGTCCATTAATTTGATCCCTTATTAATCAACGGTTTATAATAGTTGACAAAACGAATTTCATGGGGTACCACGGAGCTGAGGAGCACTGAATATCCCTACTATTATTACCTTTCTCATTTTTAAAAAATATGATTTCGAATTTCGAGAAGTGGGAGGGGTTCTCATGCAAATATCAAAATTTCAAGTGGGACCCGAGAGCTAAACCGTTTGGTGGGACTGACAATATTTTGACCGTTACAATTATAAACCCAATTCAAAAACTTTTTTCATTTAAAATTATATTAAAAAAAGATTTTCCTATCTGCCATTCACTAAACACTATTTACACTCCACGTGCTGTTTGGCGAGTCGAAAAATGTGACAAAGTAGAGTGGAGGAAGCAAAAAGTTGAGTTCCAGTAGAAACCTTTCAATTCAAAAACCTATCCCCCAGCTTAACTGCTAACCGTTCATCACACTTAGATCGACGGCCATTATTCACCAAAACTTGCTAATCACCGCACAGAATCCTCATCTTTCCCTCCCTTTCCATTTCTCTATAGCTTGATCTCCACAACCTCAGTTTTTTTCCGTTGATTTTCCGGCCACATTTTCCAGCTCTTTGGTCTTTGAATCTTCTTCCGACCGGGTTCGAGGAAAATTCATCTAGGCATGTTTGGATAGTGAGAAAAATTTCAGAGAAAAAGCAAAATGCCTGTATCAACTAGGTCCCAAAACGTTAATCATCTGCAGAATGGGTTGGACTCAGAGCAAAAGACAAGTTCTAAATCAGATCAAGAAGTTAGTCATGTGAATCTTGCACTCAGAAATCCACACCATGGCTTGAAAGAGAAAATGAGAGCTCTGACCCTCTTGTATGAGCAACAGAAGAAGGCTTCGGCAAGCTCTCAGGAACTCATCCCCAAAACCAGAAGAGAAGAGATTTTCAACTCACCCTAGTGTCGACCTTCTAACTTCTTGCAAGAAAGACGAGAGAAAAGAGGAAAAAGAAACCCGGAAATTGATGAGAGAAAACACCATACCCACATTTCCCACCGCAGCTCCCGCAATGGCGAACTCGAAAATCACGAGGACGTTTGTTTTGCCTCAGCCGCCTTTAGACGACGCGAAGGAGAACATGGGTGATGGGTCCTGATAAATCGTAGGGTTCGCTTCATGCGCTACAAGAAAAGGCAAATACCTCAACCACAGTCGCAAGAAAGCTCTCCATGGGTACCTTGTCGCAGCAAGCAGAACCTAGAATAATTGCTAATGGGAATAAAATTGTGCAAGAATCAGAGAAAACGGAGACTGTTACTGAGAAAACTATCGGGGGTCACAGCCGAATTCTGGTGTTCGTGAGGCTCAGACCCATGGCCAAGAAGGAGAAAGAAGCTGGTTCCCGGTGTTGCGTGAGGATCGTGAACAGAAGAGATGTTTACTTAACTGAGTTTGCAAATGAACACGATTATCTTAGGCTAAAGAGGTTTCGCGGGCGGCATTTCACTTTCGATGCTTCCTTTCCCGATTCCACTTCTCAGCAAGAAGTTTACACTACCACGTAAGTATGTAAATGTGTTAGTTGCTTATTAAATAACCTTATAGTATTGAATCTGCTTTTATATAGACTTTTTCTATGTTTAGATACAGTTTTGTTTTATTAATCCCATAAAGATCAGATATTGCTGTTTTGGGAACTGTTGTAGAATTTTGCCTGGAAATTTATATCTTATGATGCTACAGAACTTTCCATTTACAGCATGTTATCTAAATACTTGCTGCTATGTATCATGCTGCCGCACTGCTTATCTTAGAGAACTGTAGTTAAAGCAAAGAAACAGAAAGAAACATGACAGTTTTGTGAAATAATGAAGTTGAACAAAATTCAGGAAAAAGTTTAATTTTATACCAAGTTTATTATTTATGTATTAATATAGTTCAATTATTTACTTATATATAAGATTAGGCATATTTTATTGTTGCATATAAGTTTTGGGATGTTGTACTGGTTATATCTTTAATACACTTATCAAATCCTTTTGTAATACTTTTTTTTTTCTCACAAAACAAACACAAAGATCAATGACGGTTTACCATTTAAAAGAAAATGCTGCAAGTGTTTCCTGAAACATAAGTATGAATATCTTTTCAAACTCCTATTGCCACCTAAGTTGTCCATCATTTGAAAAGCATCACATAGCCTATTTCACAGAGAGAACTTAGACTAAAGAATAGATTGTAAATTTTCAGAACGGCTGAGCTTGTGGAAGCAGTCCTGCAAGGAAGGAACGGGTCAGTATTCTGCTATGGCGCGACGGGAGCTGGAAAAACTTATACTATGCTGGGGACAATGGAAAATCCAGGAGTAATGGTTTTGGCCATTAGGGATATCTTCACAAAAATTAGACAGAGGAGTTATGATGGAAATCATTTAGTTCATCTCTCCTATCTTGAGGTCTATAATGAAACTGTGAGGGATTTGCTCTCCCCTGGAAAGACCTTTAGTCCTCAGAGAAGACAAACAGGTTTGTTTCTTATGCATGAATGAAAAATGGGTCCACTGATTTTTATTCTGCAGGTATTAGGAATTTTTTCTTAAAGGCTATGCATGTTGCTTCTTCATATTTGGAAGCTAAAACCTTGCTTGGCATTGCTTATGTTTTTATTCATCTCATTGCTAATTAGACATGGAAAAATGCTAGTGACAAACTGAAAAATATAGATGTTACTCCCAATCCACTTTGCTTCCAATTCTCTCCTGCAAAAAGAAGCCCTAAAAATCCTGTTATAAATTTGATAAATTAACTAAATTTATGAGTATTTAGTGCTGTTAATCTTGAAACACCGACCTAACAAGAAAATGGTTTTCAAATGTTTAAACAGGGAATTGTAGCAGCAGGTCTAACACAATACAGAGCTTACTCCACAGATGAAGTATTTTGCTACATTTCCTACATCCTTATTCAGAAATTAACAATTTATTTGCCTAAAAAAATGACAGATAGATAACAGTTTACACTCTATTCTGTTAGGTAATGGCATTGCTTCAACGAGGAAACCAGAACAGAACTACTGAACCAACTCGTGCCAATGAGACATCTTCGCGCTCCCATGCTATTCTGCAGGTGGCTACGGATTTTCTTGGCCTTCTTTGTTGTTTTTGATTTGGTTGGTACTTTGTTCTATATTTCTAGTTAATTTCTAAGATCTTATTATCGTGTTCCTTGCAGGTTTTGGTTGAATACCATGTCAGGGATGCCAAGATGAATGTTGTCAATAGAGTGGGAAAGCTGTCTCTCATTGATCTTGCTGGTTCAGAAAGAGCACTTGCAACTGATCAAAGAACACTTAGATCACTAGAGGGTGCCAACATAAACAGGTCACTGCTTGCCTTGAGTAGCTGCATCAATGCCCTTGTAGAGGGTAAGAAGCACATTCCATTTCGGAACTCAAAGCTCACACAACTTCTCAAGGACTCGTTGGGGGGAGCTTGTAATACTGTGATGATTGCTAATATCAGTCCAAGCAATCTCTCATTTGGTGAAACTCAAAATACCCTGCATTGGGCTGATCGAGCCAAGGAAATTCGAACCAAGGTACTACAATTTTCATTCAGCTGTCTTTAAGAAGTTTGCAAATTTGCTGCATTTCATTAGCTACCACTAAGACAACACAAAAAAGCACATGGTCTTTCATGGTTGTGTTGATAAATCATTTCATCTCCATCCTGCACAGCTTCAGGAATGTGATGGAAATGAAGAAGTACCTCAAGTGCCTGAATCCGGAACTGATCAGGCCAAGCTACTGCTTGAGTTGCAGAAAGAGAATCGCGAATTGCGTGTGCAATTAGCACGCTTGCAGCAGAAGGTACTGGCCCTCCAGGCACATTCCTTAGCTGCAAATTCTCCTACCCCTTCTTCAGTTACATCGCTCATGACTCCGCCATCTACTTCCCAACCAAATGAGAAAAGAAAAGCTAGATCCACGTTCTTGGCTGGAACATGTTTCACACCAGAATCCAAGAAAAAGGGAGCAGACCAAACTGTTAAACAGCTTCAGCTGACAGTGAAGGCATTAGAAGCACAGATTGAGAGAATGAAGAAGAATCATGGTGCAGAGCTAAAGCAGAAAGATGATTGTATTCGTGAGCTTTCCCGGAAGGGTGAGAAGCCACCAGGTATGGAAGGGGTGAAGAGAGTTGTCACAAGGGCAAGCTTGCGGCCAAAGGAGCCAAGCAATAGCGAGTTGAAGAGCCCAAGTTATCGTTTTCGATCACCAGCCCCAACAGCTAAAAAAAGAAGTTTCTGGGACATAACAACAGCTAACAGTCCATCAGTTGCTACATTGAATGGAAGAAAAACCAGAAGCCATGTTAATTCTGAGGCTTTTGCAGCTCCCTCTATGCTTCTTCAGGTATGGATTTTGGCTCCATTCTACTCATTTAAAGAGAGAGTTGTTCTGATTTCTAAATCTATGTTGGGAACAAACCCAGAAAAGTTGTTAAATTCATTTACAAATCCACTATTAGTTCAAAGAATATTATTCTATTAGAAGTTAAAAAAATTAACCTTGCATGGAATTCTATATAGAATTTAGACAATGCATTTTATCGTATTAAAAATGATTTTTCCCAATAGAATATGCCCCTTAGCACCTTCGGTTTCCCCTTAGGTTTGAACATGGCTTCCCTCAGTCTCTTTAATTAGTACATACATATATAAGTTTCTTTCTTCTGATACTGATGCAGCTTGCATATCCATGTTTCTGGTTTGTGTTCTTGTTGGGACCGCACGTTGTAAATTGCATAATGCAGCCAGGTTTTGCCAGTAAAAAGGCTTGAAGAATTGAAGCAGTAACATGCCAAGTAGAGGGATAAAACAAACAAGTTTCCTGAAATGAACATGTTTTTCTTCTCAAGTTGGAATTCAACGGGAAGAGACTGAGCTTCGGGAAGGGAAGAAGAACATGTTTACAGTTTGTTAAGGTTATTCTTTTTCAAATTTGATTTCTTCCATTGATGTTACCATCAATCTTCTTATAATTGCTCTGTCACAGTTATGCGGTCTCCATGTTTGTAGACCCACAAAAATGCACATAAGCTTACTTTAGTTTTCGGTTTACAGTTAGATATGATTCAGTCTCTTGTTCTTTCAAAACTTTTCTTAAGAGTTAGCAGGAAGCTACTTCGGAATGTATACCTTAGACTCTTTTTTGAAAGGGTGTTATTGTCGTATACCTCGAAAGCATAATGCCTATGGATTTTCGTATATCCAGAGAAATTTTAATCGTTTAGAAATAAACGATATAATCAATAAACTCTATATATCATGAAACTTGTGAAAGCACTATGTAGGAATGTTTATGCACAGTTGTGAAACTTGTGAAAGCCCTATGAAAAAGTATATATGTAAGTTTAAGTGCTTGTAAGTTTTGGCCAGTTTTGTTTCTTATTGTTTCCAATTCATCCACTGGCAAAACCATCATGGGGGGATTTCATTGTGTTATTCTATAGAAGTCAAAAATTTATTAGTTATTTTACAATTCTCTTCAAATAGGGATTATAATATATACACTAATTCTGTAATGTTTACACAAGCAGAGAATTAGAATCTTCATCTTCGTCCTACACTTTTTCTGCTTATATGTAGATATACATACACAAATCTTAGCATAGCCAGGTTCTGCCCATAGCACATTATGCTTGAAAATCATAGAAATAGCCAGAAAAAGAACTAATAATGATGACAGTAAACCCATTTGGAAGGATTTATCTAATTTTAATACAAGATAATCCTGTTTAACCTAATTAAACTAATGGGTTTATTATTAAATAATTGGGAGGTGGGTGGGACACCAGAAACAAATAGGAATGTTTATGCACAGAATCTAATGGCACAAATAGCAGACCAGCCAGTGAACAGTTTAATTGCAAAGGAGATACCAGATTTTATACTTCATTTCTTAAATTACTTACATCTATGTGATACCATGTATATATATATAAATGTGTATATGTGTTTTATAATCAAATAAATGTAAAAGAAAGATGATTGCTATTAGATATATATATATATATATATATATATATATAAGAAAATTGCTATACCAACTCTTGTGGGTAAGTAAATTAATTAAAGTAATAATAATTGTATATCATAGAAATTAAGCTTCTTAAAAAACTTAAAATAGAAGACAATGGGTTTGGGTGGCGCATGTTTTTTTTTATCTTTTACAGAAAGCAAAAGGAGTTATGTAGTGTTGAGCTACTCCACCATGTAGGGCTGGGTCATGGGAAATGCCCTATTCTCATCATTACCCAAGGCCCCCCCCCAAAAAAAAAGGACAGAGATTCCTATTTATGTAAGTATATATATGTATGTATGTATGTTGGTAAATATAATGATCTCAAACAATTTGATCACATGTTTGAATAAAATGAGCTTTTAAATAATTGTGTTCCAATTTTACTTAAACATAATTTATACCACATAATAATAATGATTTGAAATATATATATATATATATGTGTGTGTGTGTATATATATAGAGCAATCACAAAGTGGCCTAAATGGAGAGGTGAGGAAGGAAGACAAGTAGGGCAGTGTAAGCCGGCGGCAAAGGATTAAAGAAAAAGCCCAAAGCGGCGCTGCACTTCCAAAGCTTTATGCCAAAATTCATTCATTGGAGCAATTATGATCTGATGGTGATAAACAAACTGAAAGCTGAGTACTGGTAATTTTAAAAAAATTACATACGTCTGTCTCGTAAAAATAGGAAACATGGTTTTATTATATAATAATTTTAAAGTTTAAATGCATGATGAAAAAACATAATATAATATAAGATTTAGAAGATGATTGTAAAATAAATTATTCGATAAAATATTGGGAGACCACCATGGCTACTCTGTATTAAACGTAATAACAATCGATAAAAATAATAAAATATAAATGTAAAAAAACCAAGTTTGTATTTTGCAGCCAACAACTTTTGAATCTTTTGTGAGTAACGAATATAAATATAAATTAAGATCTCTCGATTCATCATCATCATGAAATTAATATATATTATAACGGATTTGTTCGGGTTTTGTCCCCAGCTGTAATCCATTCTTCTTCTTCTTCTTCTTCATATATTTTTCTCTTCACCAGAAATGGAAAGCTTTTCGTAAGGGTAATAGTCTCACATTACATATATATATATATTTTGATGTATTATATTAATATAGGAGTCCGTAGTGTTTGTATAACCATTTGTACAATAAATTATTTTTCTGGGTCCAAATCAATTACATATCTTTATAATTTGAGATTAATGAACATTTACCCACTATTCAAATTTCTAATCTTATCAATTATTTCTTTATGTGTATATATATATATATATATTTTTTTTGTTTTTATGGTCGTGTAAATTTGAGATTGAAGCAATATCATAATAAGATTTTAAAATTTTTATACGATTTAAAATTATAATAACACCCAATTAAAAAGTTTTTTTTTTTTTTTTTTTTGGTGGGTCAAGTTGTAGATTGGAATTAATTCTATAGTTTCTGGAAATATAATTTGAGTGATAAATATAAAAAGTGGTGAGTTTTATAAAATCTAAAAAAAAATCATGTGCTTAGCTGGTGTAAAGCAGTCAACAAATCAGAAAGGCTTATTATTCTGATGTCAGAGACTGGATTTTTCTTTTCTTTTTCTTTCTTTCTTTTTTTTTTTTCTAGGGGTTTTGATGAGTTCTATGATTAGGGTTTGATTAAAAAAAATTTCTTGGGATCAATTTTCACAAAATTATGGAATAAAGCAATGATTGGAACATCTTGAACTTTTGGACCAAATGCTGGAATTTTATTATATTGTTTATTGATATATATATATGTATATATATACACACACACACACACAATTTAAAGATTTGATTTTAATACCATTTTAAACAATAATATAGTTAATTGTCCTACAAGTATCATTGCAATATATATATATATATATTTAAAAAATTCATTTATAATAGAAGATTAACAATTGTCCTTGAGCAAACCACACACTAAAACAGTTTTCTTAATTAATACATTAATTAATCACTTAATAAACTTAGATGACAAATGCATGACCTCATCCACCAACAAAATACAAATGTAAATTTACCCTTTGTTAGTTATATATATATATATATATATCTATCTTAGAGAGACATATAAAATGTATAATGAAGGATCATTTGTGCAAATCTAACCAAAATAAAGAGAACTTGCATCAATCATTTTTATTCCAAGTATAAAGTTTGTGGACAAAAATGATGAAAATAAAACTATTAGGGTTCTTATAATTTGTTACTTATTGTAATAAATAACCCCTTCCATCATAATTAATTCATATTCTTTACACATAAAAAGAAAAATTTTGTGTAAGTAATCATTGATAAATATGCTATTTGTATTAATAACTTATAAAAAATTACATTCTATACTTGTCATTTAGTTTAAAAATTTACTAAAATTATTGGTAACATGCACATGTTGTGCAAAATTATTAAGTAAATTATCAAATTTAAGATATATGAAGTTACAATTTAATTTCTAATATTTTTTTAGTTAGAATTTGATCTTGTGTATTACCCATTTGTTTTAAATATTTAATTTTGTAACAAAAAAATTAAAATTATTACATCATATTAAAAACATATCAAATAGTAGTAATTAAATATTAACATGTGAAAAAAATAATTTTTTTAAAAATTATAATTAGAATCTATATAGTTAATATTGTTGAGTTCAAATTTATGGTGATGCTAATGAATATGATATATGGTTCCATCATACATATTTATGAAAAATTATTGATTGCAAAAGTTAAAATCCATCGATATTAACTTGACTACTTAAGTAAATTACAAAAAAAAAAATTAAAAAAAAGAGAGAGAGAAAAGGAAAGAGAAAAATGAATGTAATAATGATTTGCATTAGCTAGCTAGGGCTTAGTATCTCATCGTTCAACAAAAGATTGGGAGAAAGAAAAAAGAGAGAAAAAAACTATATACATATACACCTTAATGAACTCCTCCCCCACACCTCTACCATCATATTGTTATATGTATTGGCCCCCCCTCCCTCCAAACTAAAGCTAAAGTAAATCCCCCTCCCCCCCTCTTTCCCTTTTCCTTTTTTTTTCCCTTCAAACTGAGAAATAACCCAAAAAAAAAAACCATTTTCAGACTTAGAACATTAAACATGTCTTCCCTTGTTCTTGCTTTTAACTCTCTTCTGAATGAAATCAAGAGACTCAAAGAAGAAAGAAACTAAATTCAAACTTTTACCAGCGGTTTGATTCAGATTCTAAGCAAATAGATACTAAGCTCAGGAGCTCCATTGCTATCAGGATTCATCATATAAAAAGCTTCAGAATCTCTTGACCCAACAATTCTTTCAAACTTAGCTCTCATGTACATCAGCTCTCCATCGGCTCCCGACTGATCACCGCCCTCTCCTTCGCTGTTTCCAGGCAAAACGCCAGCACCCATTGAGATTGGTTCCACAGCTTTTAAAATCTTCCACTCCTTAACCCCACATTCCCTTCTGGTAGCAAACCCACATTTCTTGCCATTGCAGTAAGTCCTCCAAACAGTCTCCTCCAGCAGCCTCACTGGCTTTATCTTCTCTTCTTCTTTCTCCTTATCACACTCCAATGCAATCCTCACCAACCCAGATGCCATTTCTCTAACCAATCCACTGATTGGCGTCGCCAGCTCCACAAGAAAAGCCGGCGGCGAACTGGGATCTTTCTGGAATGCAAAATGGACATGTCCTCGCCGGTACCCAAAAAGGGTGCCGACTACTCTCGGACCGAGACCGAGAGCTAGATTTGCTCGGTTTCGGCCAAACGCTGTAAGGACTGACCGGAGGCGAGAAACTGCAACAGCCGGCAGTTTCTTCCTTGGTGTAGACAAGGAATTATTAGTAGCATGAGCAGTCTTGAGGCTAGGTTTTCTGTCTTCCTCGGACTTGAAGGTTGGAAATGGATGATGATCATCAACAGCATCTTCAGTTCCAACCTTTTTGGTCCAATGGAAGTGCCTCTTTGAGGAGAAATGATCTTGGGAAGGTTTTGCCATGGAAACTAATGAGGTGTCTGTGGTAAAGAGTAGAGAAAAGCAGAAAAACCAATGAGAAGGTTAAGGTTTAAAAGAGAAGAAACTTGTGGGATCATTAATTAGAACTGTCTCATTCTCATTTTAATTCTTGGGTTTTGTAGAGAGGTCTTTTGCAGAGAATCCTGACAAAAGAGACAGAAGCTGACCCACAAAACAGATATTGGTAACAAACAAAAAACAAAAGAAATAGAAAGAGAAAGGAAAGGAATCTAAGGGGACAAATGTATGTATGTGTAACTTCACTTTCTTGTGGGGCAGAGAGGATTTTGCTTGACCCAAACTCTCTTTCCTTTTGACTTCAAACAGTAAGCCTTAACCTTCTTCTAATTCCCAACAAAAACTCTTCCTACCATTTCAATTAAACACACTTTAAGCTAATATGTGAAAACCCATTATAGAAATTTAACAATCATTTACACAGATAATTGAACTATAACTAAAGAGGAAAAAGAAAGGAGAGGGACAAAGGCGGAAGCAGAGCAGACATATTATAATATTCTCTGTAAACTGTAAATAAATCTACGTCTACTACTACTAACAACACAAATCTGTCTTGTAGTGTAAACGTGCACCTGACCTGACCTTCTCACCTGAATCCTCATGCCTTCATGTTGCCTCTACACTCTACAAAACCCTACCAACCTGCGACATTTACACCTCACTGTCTGGTGGACCCCCCACTAACACACCCCTTGACTTGTTCCTTTTCGCACTTCATTCAAATAGACCCACTCCCCCTCTCCTATTCCTATCCATTCCAACAATTTCATTTTAAATTACCTCTCCAGCATGCTTTGAAAATCACTATCTCTAACCCAAGTCATAAGCCTTTGTCCCGAATAAATATGTTATTTTCTTGAATCAGATAAATAATACTTCCAGTAGACAGACGAAACCAAGTTATGAAAGTAAAGAAAATTTATTTTCTCTTCACCGGTCAAGGTGTATAGAATTAAATTTAAAAAAGTAACAGTATGTATTGTTTCTCTCAGTTAATTAAAGATAAGTTTAATTAGAGAGTTCGCCGAGATTAAAAAAAACTAAGCATAAAATTCCTCACAATTTCCTTCCAAAAAATGGGGCGATGATTTATCCTAAAAGTCAGGTATTACTTAGTACCAAAACTTCACCCATCTAATCTAGCATAGGATTTCTCAACTCAATTGGGTGGGCTTGTAATTTTGCCTACTTTAGATATGAAAGTGCCCGACCAATAGGCCAATTCTGGCTCAACGGGTGGTGACTAACTAAACACAAAATCAAGTTCTGTTGTTTATCGGTAGAGAGGGCAGACTAATGGAAAGGCTTTTTTCTTCATAACCTAGAAATGCTTTATGGACTATATAATTGAGGATCGATATTAGAAATAAGATACCGGGAATGTACATACATATATGATGCTTCTGAGACAAAGATCAATTTGGAGAAACTCACTAATTACACTAAATTATAGACAACAATCCATAGAGAAAATACATATCAAGGAGCATGTCCACTACCCACATTGGTGAGTGGACTCACCAATGGCTTTTTGTACATCATGAGGAATACTACAAGCACAAATGTAAGATGAGTCAAGGATTCTTGCCTATTGAAGAAAAGAAAACTCTACAGTTAGCTTTCTAAACTTGGTTCAACCTCAGGTTGCTTTGGGGGAGCAGTGCCCCCATTCATTCTTGCCCTTGCTTCTGCAAACATTCTCTGCTGCTCAGCCACTGCTTCCTCCTCGGTCATTTCAGCTCCATTACTCCATTTTCCACCTCTCAAGGAGTCCTGCTGCAGAACGTTTCAGAAATACACCATCAGTGCAGGCCCTTTCGGAGCTTTAAAACAACCGATGTCACTGTCCTATGCTTTTAAAAATGAGTTAGCGTTGCTAAATCTTTTAAATAGAATCAACATAGGCGGCAGATCCATGGTTCATAATTTCACTTGGCCACTGTGCTACATGACAAATAGAATGGCTGAACATGATAAACCTTCCTTTCCGGGATGGATGAACATTTACAAAAACTTTCAATATTTTTCTAGTTGCCTTAAGTTTCAAGGATTTTTTTTTAATAGAACAATCCATTTCTCAAGATACACTGCAAGACCAGGGACAAAATTAATTACTTAAACACAAATCAAGATACTAACTCAGAAAAACATTTACCATAGTTTCAAGCTTATGTTGCTCATATGCAGCATAGACCTCCTCAATGTACTCCCCAAACCCAAGAACCTGAAATAGAAGATTAGTTGTATGAATGTTAAAACTCTGCTCACAAAATGAACCTCCAGTTGTCAAATTTATCCAACATTCCAATCAAACTGCTATCTAGCTAATTATATTTCAGGTATCATGTAACCCAGTCAAGTCTGAAAACTATTCTCAAAACAATAAAGACATGAGTCTTATGCCAAAACTAAATTGCAAACTTTGATATGAGACAAGAAAAAGAGAGAACTATAAAAAGGGTGTAAGAAAGAAAATTAATGATGTATTGAAGGTTAAAGCTGCAACTGCAGGGCACTTCGAAAAGAAAAAACGATTTTCACATTTAGCTTTCAGGAACCTTGGCATTGCTTAGTTACAAAAGCAGGCTCTATTTGCAGAATCTAGTGAACTTATAATAAAGAACTAATGAAGTCATTTTGAGGTGGAGCAGGATCTCTCCAAATATAAAGACGTAGTACATCTTTCTAATTTATTTCCAATCTTCTTCTTTCTTGAGTGATTCTTATAGACCTTCCTTAGACAAACTAACTATAATTTCTTTCCTTTTTTTTCAGTATGATCATATTACCCAGCAGCTAAACAATCCAGGGGCTGTCATTAAATTTATTAAACTCTATCAAAGTCACTGCCTATAATACCATAGCTGTTGATACCTTAAAGACTTTAAAAACGCTGCAAATTTCTTTTCTTTTCTTTTTTTTTTTTAAAAAAATTCGAGATCAAGGAACTAATTTTACAATGGAAAAACATAATATCCTAAGTCATCAGACAAGACTAACTTATCATTCATGACAACCCGGAAAAAATTATTCGCGTAGTACAGAAATAACCACATAGAATATCAAATATGATAAAGTTTAATGTTTGAGAACAGAAAAACTTGTGTAAGTTGCTGTCTCGATCGGAACTTTCTGTTGGCATGACATAACACAGACTTTAAGGAAATAGTATAACTAAAATCCTTGTCCTTGATTACTGATAGCCTAGTCTCACAATACTAAGTTGCTATAAAATACAGGACATGACAGAAAATGCTACAACGACTGTTTCATACTCCTGCTAATGGAACAATTGGACATAAGAATATCATACCTTACATCCTTTACAGAATACAGAAGACAGACCACAAAATTATGCATATAGAAAAAAGGCTCAACAGTAGATAAAATAACATAACGAGAAGAACAGGCAAGTGAAAAACCTGTAAAGCCTTGAGTACATGCTCAGGTGCAATTGTTCGTTTTTCCTCTCTGTTACAGACTTCGTTGGACTCTGATGAAATGAGATTTATAAACTCTGCATAAATAAAGCATCATCAGTTACAAATAAATATAGTATGACTTGAAAGCTTAATTGCTGTTATCTTGCTTCCTATGACAGGTAACTGGAACCGTCTTGCATGTGTGGGCACCTCCATTATGTTAATAATGAGTACACTTGAACCCACTTAATTTCAAAATATTTGATGTATTATATATAGGATATTTTCTAAAAATATTTTTGACCTTAGACATTTGGTAATTTCAACCCAACTTATCATAATAAATAATAAATTTGACTCTATAAGGATGATAAAAGACTATTCTCACCCCATAATACTTTTGATAATTTTGAACTCATAGTTAGAGGTAATTATTTGCATTTGTACTTAATAATCTCGCAGCTAAAACATTCTATGTCTTCCCCTGCTCGCATGGCCAAGTTCTCACAAGACTGAAATGTTTACTCAATTACTTTTTTCGCATTCTAACCACATTAATTCTGTGACTAATAGCATTCTACACACGGTTAAATGGTTAACTTCCTAACATTTTCCATTCACTTTCATCCCCTCCCCTTCTAATAAAGAGCCTTAGTTAGGAGATGATCTAGAAGGCAAGGTGCAAGGGCCATTTGTAAAGGCTAGAGCCTGTAATTAATCCCCAGTAGATTAGTTTCTTCACAAGGGTAAAGACGCTTTTTTAGAAGCAAACTTATAAAAGGTACATCAACCTCCCAAAATTGATTTGTCCATGCAATAGCTTTTATGGAAATTAAGGTAGGAGTAGACGGCCCTTTATGACTTATGCCACACCAATCTAAAGCCCCCTCTGCCAGATTTGGCCTCATATTCCTCTGAAGAATACCCTCCCGCTTTTTTAACCAATAACACTTTTACTGTCAACCATCTGGAGGAAAATTATCAGTTTTGAAATATTAGTTTCTAGTGGCTAGCTGCTCCAAATATTTTACCCATTTGCCAGAGTTTCAGTTTCTAAGATATATGAATACAAACATATAGAGCAGATGATGTAACCTCATGGATGAATTCCAAAACAACATAAAAGTCAGCCTAAAGAGCTAGCTTAGCATTATTGCAAAAGAAAACAGAGGCACTACCATAATGTTCAAAGAATTCAAAAGATAGAAGTAAATAATCTAGAAGTTATTAAAACACTTAAAATGGCAGGCTAATATCGGAAATGGAAGGCCATTTCAACCCACCTACGCAGCATTCAATTAAAAGATCTTGAGCATCACGTGCAACACGAACATCTGGGGGTAACATCTCCTTTATAATTTTTGTCATAGTTGCTGGAAAAAAGAGCAAGAAAATTTGTGACCAGCATCAATAAAATAAACAGATAATAAGTAGTTCGAGTCTGAAACACTTGTAACAATAAACAAACTTCCATTTTTAATTTATGAATACTTTCCTTGTATTCCTTCCTTATTCCTTTCATTGAAGGATGAATAACTGTTGATTTCTACACGTCATACCATAACAGTAAAATCTTATAACAGATCACAATTTTGCCAGTGTACTATAATGGGTGCATGTGTATGCTAAATTGGGAGAAAATAATTTGCTTAGTTTGTGGTGTTTACAGGTTAATTCAAAGATTGCTTCCGCAATCTTATCACCAAATTTATGATTTAAGACGAATTTGAACTGGTCATTTTCCCGTATATCTCAATGTGAAAGCCAGTCTAAGCAAAATGCCACCCCAGCCATACTACAATTGATAGACAGTTGTGCAACAATGAAACACTTTCTCCCTTTTATTAAACTTCCAACAGGCTGGTGAAGCTCTCGTATCTCATCAAGAACATTGGGAAGCCAAAACCAACTAGGGCACAGCACACACAGAATTGTTTAACTCATCAGAAATCCAGACCCCAAACAAAGGACGCATTATTCAAACACAACTTAAGTTACATACAGCCCCTTCGACCATATACTAGTGTATCCTGTAATCCCTTCTATAATTAGGATCTTAAAGGCATTAAGACAAGCACATGAAGTGTACCAAAACAAACTAAAGAACGTCAGAAACAATCTAGCTTACCAAATATTTGCAGGTTATACACATTCGCGGTCTCAAAATTTTCAGTTCTATTAGCATCAGATTAAGAACGACAAAGTAAAGAGAAAAACACCTTAAAAACTATTGACATATTGAATTTGTAAAAACTAAAAAACCTAAATATATGCCATACTAACCAAAGAAAAAGGAAATTATTATTACTATTAGCAAAGGAACGAACCTTTTGGAAGCGAGGCGTCCTCTTTTGACTTCCCGACAATATCCATCGGCTCCATTCTTAATCTTCAAACTAAGCTACCGCAACCGATCACAGGAAACACCTGTACACAAACGTACATGTATATGCATACGCACGTACGTGAAATCGTTGTGAGAATCGAAGCAACACAAGACGAATATTAGGAAAAAATCAGCAAATCCTAAAATAGATCTGACAGCGAATATCGATAGGGAATGGCGGGGGAAGAGTCCGATGAGAAATAGGGGAAGTAACTCACCAAGCTCACTGAGTCGACTCGATAATCGAACAGACCGAATCACACAGAGATAGAATTGAAGCCTACGATTGCGAAAATCGGCGAGCAAACCGATTCACAATCCGAGTTAAGGGCGAAATCAGGAGGATGAACATGGCTGATTATATGGATTTATCGAAGTTCTTCAGGATAAGGAGGAGTTCTCGTTCGCAGCCGATTATTAGGTCTAAAGACGCAAGCATAACACTCTCTCCAAAGCGCGTAGAAGTCGTTGATGCCCACGTCATCAACCAGGCGCGTCAGATTGAATTTGAGGTGGGACCCGTGAATAAATGGTCGAAATCAGGTCAGATGGCGATTGCGTGTGGTTCACCTGGAATATAGAGCGTGGGAAAGACTGAATTCGTTTCGATTTGGTTTTCTTTTTGGTACTTTTCCTTTTATTATTAATTTTTCAATAATTTTATTTTAAAAATGTTTTATTATATTGAGTGCTTTACAAAATGTCAATGGGGGAGATGGGCTTGCAAATTGAAACGGGCTTTGTTGGGTTCATTGACCGTTCTCCTCCCTCCCCGATAAAATTTATAACTTCACCTCCCCAGATTTCATTTGCTTTCTCCTTTTTTTTTATTCGCTCAATTATATTGTACATTCCAATTTTATTTTTATTTCTTTTTCTTATAATTTGATTTAAAATTTTTTGTAACTTCTTTGTTAAAAAATTACTTAAATAATATATTTCTTTATTTAATTTCTGTGTTTTTGTAATTTATTTAAATTACTTACTGTATCAATATTTGGTCAAATAAATATTTATATTTTTAAAAAAAATTCTATTTAATCTCTCTCCCTTACTAATTGTCTTTACTAACTTAAGTGTTGCGTGTTAATTTTGTATACAAGTTGCGCCCTTTAATTTGTTTAAATGCTACGTAGTATTTAACGTAATTTTATAAAATTTAAATGTGAATCAATTTATATTGATTCACAAACTTAAAAAATAAATTTAAATAAAAAAATATTTAAATGTCCTATTTATAACCTTATTGTCTTTTTTTTTTTTTTCAAAAACTAATTTGATAGTAGATTTATTCTCATAATCTCTTAACATTGAATTCACATTAGTATGAATGTATGAGACAATGTCATTTTTTGCATGATAATAGCACGACGCTTCATTTTCACATTCTTTTAAAGATAAATATCAGTTTATCTATTAAAATAAGTGAACTGTTGTCAGGATTATATATTACAAACTGGATAGGTCATCTCTTATTAGCGTTGCTTCTAGTGTTATTTTTTATAATGTTCATCGCTTCAATGCACCTTTTATGATATCATTAATATACATAAATTAGTTTAGCATTAAAATATTTTGAGAATAAATTAGTTTGGTTTTAATATTTAAAAAAAATAATGATAACAATATTGAGAAAATAAAAACGTAAATTTTGTTATTTATATATTTTTAATTATAAATAAGTTTAAATTAATAGATATTGAAATTTTTTAACATAATGCCAAATATTACATAATATTTAATGTGATATTCAGATCAATAAGATAATATTGCATGTTAATAAATTTAAAACATTGACGCACAAATTAACTGTAACACCCTGTCCTAAAGATGGGACATTACCACCACCTATCATCCTCATTCAAGAACTTTCTCCATCATGCAACAAATTTTTATCATTTCATTCCTCAAAAGTAATAATCACCTCATATCCATTAAACATCTAGAAAGTACATGGTCAATTCGCATAATTCAATGTTACAACAACTATAATTTAAAAGTTGGTATACTGTGTGCACTCATATGTATAAAACAAGTATCCTATACTAGTGTGCCTTCCTTCCTCAGGTGTGGGGCTCCATCGCTATGCATTTCGATTTTGATTTTAAATCTAACACATCTGAAAATAACAGTAATGAATATCAATAGTCTTAGTAAGAAAATGTAGAACTTAAGACTACAATATGAAAAATAAGAAATTTTTCACCCCAACACTCCTCACTTAGACCCTCACTCCCACCTATCCGCTCTCCCATCTCTACCATAAGATGACCATTTCCCCAAAGCTTCGCTACCTATAGTCACTCAATTGCACTAACTACTTACTCCTACTAACACCGAAATACGCCTACCACACCCGTAGCTACAGTCCTGAAGGCCTACATACACTCATAGTTCACTTATGTCCACTACTCAACCTCAGTATCGGAACCAATCAATCTTTACTGACCACACATCCATACCTTCCACTTTTCTAGCCTAGAGAGGCCACCCACACACATCACTCATTCGGTTATCCCTTAATAGCCCTGGGGCAATGGCCTGTAAATACCCCATCTACACACCTGAGTCCATACCAACACCGGCAAATGCTCGACCTAGAAATGCTACACCCACACATTCACCCAACTAACTTTCCATGTCTAACCTGGGACAAAGGCTTGTGAAGACCACACATACCAACATTCTAGTCCACATATACGACTTCCTCTTACACAACTCTCGGCTAGTGAAGGCCCTCTACTTATTCATCACCCACTTGTCACCACAACTATAGAGGCCACACACATTCACACACGCACCATATCACATAAATTCACCTATTCAGTCCCTATCATGCTTTGTCACTCTCTGCCCTACACACACACCAGATGCCACCCTGAAATGCTCACTTACACTGTCACACTCTGCCTGTAATGACCACACGCGCCCGCTGACTGTGTCATGCTCTTTTAGAGCCATACACATACTCACACATAAAACCAAATCACATAAATTCAACTACTCAGTTACATACAATTCTCGGCCAATGTCTGCCACACACGCACATACTAGACGCCCTAAGCCACTCGCTCACACAGTCGCACTCGACTTATAATGGTCACACATGCACACCGACCGCGCCACAACTCCTTATTCGCTATATAACACTCAATCCGTCTCTTCTACTCAGATCCTGTGATTTTGCCCTAGCCTACACAACTTCCGCTCAACCTATACTCTCACCCGACCACTTATACTCTATCCACATAAAACCTCCTCATAATAGAGATTACTACATCCACACTTGACTTAATAACCTCATCCACATCTCTCTGCCCTCAGTTCGGATCACCTCATTCAATCGATTATGGGAAAAGGAAAAAAATAGAAATAGAATTGATCTTGCTTTGCCATACCGAGTCA